CGTTTGTGGTGAATGACTTGATTGGTGATTATCATTTTTTCAATAGATTTTAACTTAGCATCTACATTCATTACACATTTCATTTATCTTTATTGTATTTTTCAAAGTGTTGGCATATAAAATTGTTAAATTTGTAGACCAGCATAATTAATATTAACATCAATTGTGCAGTAAAACACCATAAATACATAAGTTCTTACACTATTTACAAACCCTAGAATTTTAATAAACACTAGCACATTGAATACAAGTGATCCGTCCCGGCTTTGCGCAGGTGATTTCTGGATCTCGAAAACAGCTCCATTCTACTGGGTCCAATTGAGTTTTTAAAGCATCCAGGGACCCACTTAAATACACAAAAGAAAAATCAATATTTGTTGAGCCATTTTTGAGTTTGAACAAGACTAATGGACAGCATGTGATTTTATATATAGAAATTACAATTAGTTCCTACTTTCTTTTAAAAATACACTTTAAGCACCCTTTAAGTGTATGAAAAAGTATCTGATATGGCATGTAACACATTTACATCAGGTCTGAAAAAATAATGAAAACAAACAAAATTCAAAACCTATTAAGTAAATTAATGGACATTACAGGGTTAGTTTTCAAAGAGTAACCAAATTTTAAACAAAAGTTGACATATATTAATAATGATATACCATTATTGCAGTTTTCGAAAAAGAGCAAATAAGGCATCTACTTTTATTTGAAATTATCCCAAATTTTTTATTTATTATTTTTATTTTAAATGTTACCCACACTCTAGGATTTTCTTCTGTATCATGGAGGCAGTTTACATACATAAATTGCACAAGGACAAACATCCAGACAATTACTTGTAGATCATACAAATATTTGTTCTGTGTGGGATTGAGTTCACAGCCCTCAGCGCTATAAGTTATTGCTTATGCTACTGCGCCACGGAGCCGTCAAAAATTAAATGTGATTTTAAGGGCAACAATATTTTTGCCTACTGATCGATCCTTATGAACTTATGATTTTGTGTGCTTAGTAAAATAAGTTAAAATAATGCATTACAATGCATTTTGAATTTAAAAGATAAAAATCTCAAACATGACATTTGAGATTTTTATCTTTTAAATTCTTTTAATTTAAAAGTATCTCAAACATTGTGTTTGTGATTTTTTAAAATTAATTTTCCTTTACTATTTGTCTATATTCCATATTCTGAACCTTCTGAACCTCTGCAACTTTAGCCGATCATTGCATAATCTTTTATAACAGTATCCTTTCAATTAAAATCGTCATTGGAGCATGTGCAGAAGAAAGATAATCTTTAGTAAAACAAGCAAGTACTAGTGTGTGTGTGTATGTGTGTGTGGGGTGCGTGTGTGTGCGTGTGTGTGTGTGTGGGGGGGGGGAGGTTAGCAAATAACTTATGGCAGTATGATGCAACAAAAATAATAATGTCTATTTATTTATGATTAAACTAGTTTATCAGTAGACTAAACTAGTCTAACAGTTGACACCAAGAAAAAACAAGTTTGTTCAATCAATGCCCCACACTTAAGGGACAGTGCACGAGAACACAGTTGTGCATATATAGTGGTCTGATATATGGATCATAAAAAGTGAAAATTACGGACCGTTAATTTATGGTGTAGTGCACAAAAGGCCTAAGACTAGTGACCAGGTACATAGTTAAATTAAAATGGTTAATAGGCTCACTAGAAAAGTATCACTTATTATCAGGCAGTATAAGAAATGGAGGGTCATACAAAAACTTGATCATTAAGAGGATACCTTGAAAATGTATCGAAGTTTTGGGGGTGTGGCTTATTCCTTTGTCGGTGAAGCTGACGGGCGACTGAGGGAGTGTCAAATGAAAGTGGTGCAATGACTTCATAGTACGCAAATTATGAGATAGCCATACCGAGCAAGCGCTCGGAAAAAACTATGTAAGCGCCAAACAACATTTTTATTTATTTTAACATAACTTCGTTATGGATTAAAAAACTGGTTTATGGAAACTTAGATATGATTATTTATTATACCTTAAAAATAATTCCATGAACTTATTTGTTAGAATAATGTGGTGTCATGGAGAAAGTAAATAATTAGAGCCTACTTTGCAATTTTTTTCTATTGAGAAAATTACATGATATTGTGTTTTCCTTTTATGCAATCCAAGGTCATATAGTCAAAAATCATATACCAAAATTTTGGTTTGTAATAAATAAAACTTAAAAAAAATATAAGTTAAATAGTGTTACGAGCTTAGGATTCGTGACAATAAAAACTGTCGATTGAATTACCAAAAACCAATTAAAACTTAAAAAACACTAAAAATTTATCACACTGATTCATTTTATTTCGCTCCGAAGCTTCGCTTTTCTCGCCAAATTCAATACACGCTATCACGTGCATTTGCCTGCTCTCCCGGTGGCCTATCAGCGATACTAAATGGCGCTGTTTAATCTTTTAACCAAGATTAGTCATGTCATTTTCTGGACAGCTGTCCTCGCTCTGTTACCTGACACTAGATGGCGCTAGTGCCAGATGTCAACTTAGGCGCGCAACATTAGAAAAACCACCAAATTTTCGAGATATCACCTTAATCTTACTAATCTTAATTGTATACACTAATGGACTTACACATTTGAAATGTAATTAAAAAAAAAACGGAACCAAAATTAAATTGATGAATTCCAAAGACGAACAATATGTTAGGCACCCAATCAACAAGGCATTTAATAGCAATTGTGTGTACGAGACAGTTAAGCATGATGGTGTGTTCGGGTATTGGATGTATGTTCAATAATAATTTAAAAAAAGATTGATTCCAGTTCAAGTCCAATATAAAAGTATATTATAGAGGAATGAAATAATGTTATTGTCTATGATTCCATATTCCAATGATAATTTAATCCAGTTATTTGAATATTTCAACATAAAAATTATACAAAGCATAAAGCTACCAGTCTTAAAAGCATATCTAAGGTAAGGAGAGAATAAGTATCAGTATTAGAGTGTTCTGCAAATAGTTCAGATTATAAGTCTAATATAGAATTTGTGGTACACTGTTACTTACTTATCTTCACGCACAATCCCTAACGGGGTAGCCAGAGAGAACAGATCGCCAAGTGTCACAATCCTTACATACCTCTTTCGCTTCTTTCAGGTTCATTAACTTCTTCATACATGCACGTCTAGGTATCCGAGTACTCTTGACCTTCCCCTCTTCGAGCAATTTGCTCACATGGTCTTCGAAAGTTAGTCTCGGTCTACCTCGACACCTTTTAATATTTACTTTCGCTCTATATATTTTCTTCACCATTCGGTCTTCACTCATTCGCTCAACGTGCCCAAACCATTGGAGTACGCCCCTATCAATTTTTGTGATAAGGTCATCTTTCAATCCTGCCATATTGCGAATCTCTTCGTTTCGCTTACGATCGGCTATGGTAACGCCACACATTTTACGAAGAGATCGCATCTCCACTGCATTCAACTTGCTTTTATGCTTCTTCTGGCATACCCACGTTTCGCTGCCATATAACAAAGTCGGTACCAACACTGCGTTATGTATTTCAAGGTGTGCACTCTTCACCACGCCTTGCCTTTTGATTAATGCATTCAGGGCACCATTGACTTTGTTTCCGGCAGCGACGCACCTATCCACATCTAAATCACATCTTCCATCACGGCTGAAAGCACTCCCCAATTATACAATTTCATGTGGTACAGTGTAAAGAAAATATTGTTGAATAAGTCCTCAGGGTCTTTACAAATTGCAATTCCAACAAATTTTAAATTTTCCTATGCTGGCTGACCCTGGGTATTTAATATCTGGCATCAAGATGAGAGGTACCGCCACTGTGTTGAATCAACATATTATAAGTAACATCAACAAACTATGTTGCGTTTGTAAAAGATTTATAGAAGCTTAGAGAAATATTCCTCTGGAGATGATACACTGTGTGAAAAATTGACAGGATAATTCCGTGTCATTGTAGAGTTTTAATTGACAGTTGAAGCTTTCCAACTGAATATTAATTAAAATATTTGTACCATTAAACTACATTATTCATTTTGTTACTTTCTTACTATGCATTTTTACACTGTATTTTGTGTTTTAACATTATATTTTATAAAGATATCAATTTTTAAATATAGCACAACTGATTTAATAATTCTTGTAATTAGAGATATATCAAAGACAAATAGGTAAAATAATTCTTACACTGCTTTATAAGAATATCTACCTATTGTCCTATGTTGTAAGGGGTGAATGGGAAACAATCAGAATGGGGATGGCGATAGGACGGGCAGCTGTGTCTTTCTCATAACCCTCATAAATAAAAACTGTGGTTGCCAACCATGGAAAATGTCAGTTAGTTATAGCATTGTTAAATAGGTATCACATACATAAAATTAATTATCAAGTAAACAACAAAGTACCTATGTCTTTTACCAAAAATAGAAGTTTCTAATTATATGTGAACAACTATATATAAAACACATATATAATGAAACTGGTAACTGAAAATTTTGTGCTTAGATGTTTTATTTCACAGGTGTAATCACAGAGAAAATTTGTTTTTCTTGCAAATTATTCATTTTCTAACATTTTCAAATGATTTATTTGTACATTGGCTGAAGGAGTTCTTGTTATTTTAATATTATGAATTTATGAGACATTAAATTTTCTTAAGATTCTTTATAAAAATAAATTTGTTTTTACAATAAACACTCCCTTATTACCTAGATTTCGCATTCAAATAATTCATGAACCAGAATAGTTAAATAATAATTTTAAGAATGAAATTTCAAAAGCCAATAGGTTATGATTATGAAAAAGTAATTTTGTTTATTTATTTGTTTATGTTAGAAATATTATTATTATTTTTTACAATTAATAACTTCTGTGTGTATGCATATGCATATTTTTTTTGTATATATTATTCAGTGTTTCTGCAGCAATTTGTAGAAAACTTTATCTTTGAAAGCAAATTCAATGTATGACTTCATTTCAGTTGATAAAGAAGATTCTGATAACATAGATGAGAGATTGAAAGATATAAATACTCCTGAAGACACTATAAGCAGAGATAGAGATGACTGTACACAAGAATCCACATCAGAAAATATAATTCAAGAAGAGAAAACTGATAATAATATTGATAATGAAATTGAAGAGGGGGATGAAAAAAAAGATGAAGTAGGGAAACCGGAATTTGAAACTGCTCCAAATGTTTCTATAGATGAGCCTCAGGAAGACCATACACAGGTACTGTAAGTTGACCTCTATACTAAAACGTAAATAGTATATGATGGTAAAATGTGTGTGTCAGTTGTAAGATTTTTGGGTTTAGGAGATATGTGCACACAATAGAAGGACTTTATATTGATTGATAGATATGGAAAGTGGGTAAAGCATTTGTTTTATTTATTATTATAATTTTCAACCTGCAAGCTTACGTATGGACCTAGAGTTATTCCGTTGTAGATAGGGTAGAGGAGATAAAGTCCCATGCAGTCACATGCGTCCGGCATATCTCGAGCACATATCCATAAACTAGCTGACTTTTTATTCCACTAGAGGATAGAAAATTTCATATTGATTCTATAATGCCAAACTTCTTCATAGAAAAGTAGTTTCTAAACATAAGTATTGATGGGTTAAAGTCCTGTGGGTGCAGTCACATTTGACCTCTTGAATTTTGACGGAATATCGAAGCGGTCAAATTAGGACACTTGCTGTTTGAGAGGTTAAATAACAGACACATGTTATATATGCAGATATTAGCATTTATTCAGAGATGGTGTTATACCATATTTTTTCTTTATTACTATTTTTTTTGAAATATTTATTTATTTATTTGCCATTACGTTACATTACGTAACATTGGTACGTCAAAATTACAATGACAAAGAATGTTTTTATCACTTGTCGGAACGCATTTAGCGGAAGTCTTGTTATTTCTATTGGCAATTTATTGTACATTTTAATTTTTATTGCAAAACCTTGCTTGAACACTTTGACTAATCTGGTTCTTGGAACAACTAATCTTTCGCGATTTCTAGAATTGTAGTTGTGTACGTGCTTCTTCATTGGTAGTTTACTTTTTTCCTGGTGCACTTCTAGAAGCGATCTATAAATATATAAAGAAACGACAGTCATAATTTTCGCTTTTTGGAAATAGATTTACATATAATGAAACGTCTGTTACACTACTAAATGAGAAAGTAAATGGTCCAATTATTCTAACTGCAATTATGTGCATTATGTTGTATTAGTATGTCGTATATTATAATGTATCAGTGTGGTGTATAATATTGGTATAAAGTATTAAATAATTAATTGATTTAATTGATGAGATAAATAGATGCTGAAATTCATATTACAATACAAATAAACATTGTAAAAGTAGTTCTGTACTTATTGCATAATTCTTTCAGCATAATATATCACATAATACCACCTAGTAATCCAGCTGCTTCTGCAAAAGTAAAGTAAAGTTACAGCCTATATACGTCCCACTGCTGGGCACAGGCCTCCCCTCATTTCTGAGAGTTGTTTTAGGGCAAGGAAATGTCCGCCACGCTGCCCCAATGCGTGTTGGCGAACTTCACATGTCTTGAAATATTTTTTTTCTTATTCCTCAGACATGCAGGTTTCCTCACGATGTTTTCCTTCACCGCTGAGTACATGGTAAATCAGCACTTAAAATTGCAATTAACAATTTCATTGGTGCCGGCGGGGATCGAACCCGGGTTACTCTCGTTCTGTTATATTTACAGCGAGCATTAACCATCTGAGCTACCACGGCTCACGGCTGTTTCTGCAAAATCTGTTGAAATAGATCCAGTTGTCTCTGCAAAATCTGTTGAAATAGATCCAGCTGTTTCTGCTGTTCAGTGCCAAACATGTGTACAGAAGAATTATATAATATAGATACCACACTTTTTTAAATTTTACATCAATTTTTCAGAAGTGGTAGTCTTGTACCTTTCATCATTCCCTGTATTTATGTAAACAATTTTAATACATAACGTAAATATTGCTAAAAATGATATCATGTTAGTCTGAAAGTAATTATTTTAATTTAATACCATGCAAATAGTAAAAGATGACTGCCGTTTTTCAGGCCTTAGACCCATTTGATGCTCTTTTGAGAGATATTGGCGATTCTACGTCAGAGACCAAGGAAACGGCGACTCAAGCCACCGTGAATTTGGTAGATGAGGACGATGACAATGACAACGTAGACCACGCTGATGACTTGCCACGAGATGATGAGGAAGAACATCATACAGGTATAATGACTAAAACAATTTTATAAAAGCTATCTGCAAATTTTTAATAAACTGCAATACTAAACTCCTCTAATCATTTTCCCAAAAGAAACATCTTTAGATGATAGTGTAGTCACTGAATTGAATGAAGAGCCGGGTGCGGATGAAGAGGTGTGCTTACTACCTGACACAGAACGCGAGATATCTGATGCTGACAAGGCTGAAGCTGAGAAAGTTCTCGCCGAAAAGCGGAAGCAGGCTGAGGCCGAGGGTAATTGTTAATTTTTAACCTTTAACCAAACTTCATATGTTAATTGATATTGTATCATATTGCACAAAATACTTCTAATCTTCTCTTTTGTAGCTGTGACACCTACACGTAAATTTTAAATGTAAAATAAGTTATAAATTATTATTTAGCAGCTGCAACGGAAGCACAGAAAGAGCCTAAGAAGGAGAATGAAGTTGCAGTGGCAGATGAGAGAAGGTATAGTACTGAAGAGCCTTCGCATAATGAGGAAGGTGGGGCAAGTGAAAATGCTGAAGCAGAAAGTGTTCAAGATGATCTTTCGCAGGAAAATGGAGGTAAACCAATTGTTGTAGTATTTTGTAAAAATTTGTAGGATATAATTACTATAATAGGATTACAGTAAAATCTGGATGAAGCAACTATCAAGGGATCAATCAACAGGACTCACTAAACAGACGAATTATTTACAAGTTATGTATTATAAATACGTATTTATTATAAAAAAACACAATTTTAATCATGTAATGAACAAATGTCAATGAAATAAAAATTTACTTAAATTAAATACATTATTTTTATTTTTAATTAGCTATATCCGTCCTGACTTGCAGGTCTAAATGTGAATCAACCGTCTAAAGAACCATTCAAACACACAAAAAAGTCACCAGCTAACTTTCTTATTTAAATGTTTCTGTTTATGTGTGGCTCGATATTATAAGTTATAAATGAGTGAGGTACTAAAACAGTAACAGTGTTTTTTTACCCTTTGATGGGTTACTACAACATTAATTACGAGCGCAACAACTAGTCCTGTGAACGAAAATGTTTCTCCATTGAAGAAAAAAGTGATGGTGAGATGATGATGGATCCCACGTAAGTCCGCTACGCTTATGAAGATTGAGCCACGCTCGAAAGGCCTGTCGGCAACGCCCCGCCCCTTTGTCAGCGTGTGAGTCGGACCGCCGTTGATTCCGCCTGCAGCTAGCATAGGAATGACGCGCGCGCTACTCACCTTAGCGAACTTATCTTGTATGCGAAGTTAATTTCACTCTTGTAAAATTATTTGATGTAAAAATAACTTTTACTGGCAACGGCCAACAGAAGCAGGCTCATCATCACTTTTTTCTTCAATTGAGAAACATTTTCGTTCACAGGACTAATTTTTGCGATCGTAATTAATGTTGTAGTATCCCATCAAAAGGTAAAAAAAACACTGTTACTGTTTTAGTACCTCACTCAAAGTGTTTTGCCACCTTAAGCAGAGTTGTACTTAACAGATGTACTTTCAAGAAAGTAGTATTAAATTTAACTTGAATTTGCATCTATATTGCTTAAAAGCATTTTGATTTGTTATATTTTTTACAGAAAAAGAAAATGATGAATCGACAGAAGCCGAAGTAAGCTTTGTATCTAATACCATACAAGAAATCAGTCCCTGTACTGCAACATGTGTTCAGTGTAAAATAGAAACATCTTGTAGTTATCGATTCGCTACCAAAGAAGTGAAGGAAAACTACATTTGCGGCGAAAGTTGTCTAAAATTATTTCAAGCTGATCATCCGTCTCAATATACAGTAGCTTGCAGGAAATATCTAATAGAAGAAATTACACCGAAGCCGCTTATGTGCTCAGAATGTGAGGAGAAAAAGCTCTGCTACTTTTACTATAATTTTGATGGAGAAGACACAAACTATTGCTCAGAAGAATGTTTACACAGTATGATGGCAGATGAAAAGGAAAAATATATTTTCAAAAGATTGCGGATAATAATTGAAGAGAAAGTACGAAAAGATGTAGAGTGTCTCGTATGTAAAGAAACGAAAAAATGTCAATACCATATGCTGCGGTATGGAAAAGCATATTCAATATGTGACCTTAACTGTGTGAAAATGTTAAATGATTCAGAAGAAGGAAGATACACAATAAGAAATAGGCGGTCAGGTCGAAAGCAAGCACAAACGAACACAACACAGGCTAACACAGCTCCAAGTAACCCTCCTTTGTTAAAACTAAAAGTAATAAGTAATGCCACAGATAAATATTTAGACGAAGCATATAAAATTCAAGCAAAAACTCCAGCAATGATAAAAGCAGCAAGAGAAGAAAGGGAACGCACTTTTGTTCGTACATGCTCACAATGTAATTTGATATTAACCTCTGAAGAAAAAATTTTAACATGGGAGACAATGGATTTCTGTAAAGAAACCTGTTTAGGCAGATACCAGAATGATATTGGGTCGCAGTGCGCTAATTGTTCAAACCCTGTACAACACACTAGTTTAGGAAAATATTGTGTAAGGTTTGGTTATGTTATTCGTCAGTTTTGTAACTCGGGTTGCTTGGAAGAATTTAAAAAGGGCTTGAAGATATGTTGTTATTGTCAAAGAGATATATCAGTAGGCCATGAAGGTTTTTTGGCACCTGTGGGTGATAAAGGCCAGTTTAAAGATTTCTGTTCTCAAATATGTGTGGACAAATTTGACCAAATGAGTAAAAACCCTGTCCCTCAACCTGTTTGGGCTAAGTGCGCGGTTTGCTCATTACAGAAAGCCACACCTATAGAAGTGGAAGTTGGCGAAGATGTTACACAGAGGCTATGTTCAGATCCTTGTTTTGCTGCTTTTAAATTTGTAAATAATATATTTCCAGGTTAGTAAGTTCATATTCATATATTCAGGATCATATTCTACTAATATTATATTTTTATTTTGGCAAGGAAATAGGTTATGTTTTTAATCCCTTTATAATATTTAGAGTAGGTTACACACCCACTGCTGGGCCATTCCTCCATTACAGTCTATAAAAGTCCACTGCTGAACATAGGCCTCCACCATAGATTGTCTCGTAACTGCAGTTTTTTTATTATTTTTATACCTGTTGTAATTTCCCTCTGCCAGGTAAGAATTTTTAAAGCAGGGAAGAGCCAGCCCTGCTGCTCCAATGCATATTGACGGTCATTGACATATTATGATAATATTCTTCATCAGCCTGTAAGGACATAGGTTTCACCTTCAATAAGGAAAATTTACCTTAAACGTCGCTTGGCATATTAGCAGTCACAATACCCGATGACTCACACTCTTGACGCTGCTGTCTTTCATCATTCTTTTTTTTCATCATCATTATTCAGCCCTTCACAAGTCCACTGCTGGACATAAGCCTCCCCCAAGGAATACCACAAAGCACAATTCTGAGCCACCTGCATCCATCGTCTTCCTGTATGTCTTACCAGGTCGTCACTACATCTAGTGGGTCTTCACCAGATTAAACCGGACATAATATACCTCATATTAGGTCTGGCTTAAACGAGATTTCCACCATCTATCAGAAGCCATAAGATTTTTGTGGCATTTTCTATATTCATCTCTTATGACACCAACTGGAAGAAATGGGATGGTGTATGTTCTTACCCTACAACCACAGGGCCTATTAAAAATCATAAATTTAATATATTGAATGTGGTGAAAGATTTGATTAGTAATATTGATGGATAGAAGCAGTATTACCAATGCAAGGGTACCACTGGATCTGTAACGACTACCACCTACTAATGGAAATGCGTATTATCCAGTTTTTGGGAAATTCAACAGTGGACTTAAAAAGTCTGACCATGAAATATGTTAAAAATTTAGAAAGTGCCCTTCATTTTTTTTTTGATATTTTAACTATGTATAAATTTAGTTGCAAAAATTAACAAAATTAAATTTTCACTTAAGTGTTCACTTGCAGATCAATGTCGTTGGTGTAAAAAATACTTTGAAAGGAAATTGAACAAATGCTTCACAATTTACGAAAGTTCCAGTCTAAATTGTTTCTGCTCAAAGTCCTGTATGAATGTATACATTAGTAATTCACGACATATTGTGCCTTGCAACTGGTGCAAGGTGAAGAAATATAATTTTGACATGATCAGACGTGATCAACCGAATGGACAATCAGTTTTGATGTGCTCATTGAATTGTTTGAATCTGTATCAAGTCTCTGTGAATGCTGTTTCATCAAAAAGGTAAAGGGAATAGTAATGTTTGAAGCTAAGCTTAACGAATATTTGTTATTGGGATCTCTGAAAATAAAATAAGTAAATAAATAAGTGGCTGGGCAATGCTTGTTGCTGCCAAATTAAGTGAGCAAGACATAGTACAAAGAAGGAAACTGCGATGGGCAGCACGCAGCCACCATTTCTCTCTCTTGTAATGTGTGTGTATTCTATTAACTACAGCCTATCAAAGCTAAACTGCCGCCACACTCCACACATAGGCCTCCCAATAAACTGCCTTGTGTTCACTATATTCAACATGAAATGGCAAGAGGCAGGCTTGGCAACAAAATTTTTTAAACTTTTAGTTATTATGTGTTATGCTGCTGCCGATCACCTAGTTTGTTTCCGTGTGTCAACTCTTACAACAACCATGGGACGATATTGGATAGTGGATAATCTTACACCGCTTCTCAATACCCAATGTACATGAATATACACTGTCACTATGTATATTGGGTATTGAGAACCACATAGTATATACTTCACATTAATTTTTGTTTTATTACTGTAATTTTTGCATATTTAAAATAAATAAATAAATAATAAACTTACAATTAGACTTGCAACAATAAATCGAAAATCCAGTAAAATTGACAACTGAACTGCCAGGTGAAAGTAAGAGCAGCCTAGAATGAATGAATGCTGTGCGAAACGACAATGACTGTATTTTGAATGAACTAACGCTTTGCGAAACGAGAATGACTGTATTTTGAATGAACTAACGCTTTGCGAAACGAGAATGACTGGATTTTGAATGAACTAACGCTTTGCGAAACGAGAATGACTGTATTTTGAAAGAATAAATGCTGTGCAAAACGAGAATGACTGTATTTAGAATGAATAAATACTGTTCGAAACGAGAATGACTGTATTTAGAATGAATAAATGCTGTACGAAACGAGAATGACTGTATTTTGAATGAATGAATGCTATACGAAACGATTATGACGGTGTTTTGAATGAATGAATGCTGAGCGAAACGAGAATGACTGTATTTTGAATGAATTAATGCTGTACGAAACGAGAATGACTGTACTTGGAATGAATTAATGCTGTGCGAAACGAGTATGGTGGTTTTGAATGAATTCTGAACGAAACGAGAATGACTGTATTTGGAATGACGAAAATTTATGTTTAATAAAATGAATAAAATATTTTGACGTCGCATCATCGGCGATATTTTAATTAGAAAAATAAACATTCATAACGCATTTAAAAAAATATCCGAGTAACAATTTACTACCAAATTAATATCGAAATCAGTTATATTAATAAATAATTGGATTTTAAATATGAATGTGGTTTCACTCGCTTTATTATAACATTCATTTTAGAAAAATCTTAACAATCCTTGAAATAAATCTGTTACAGGACAAAATGCGACATGTGCAAGCGTACATCACTGGCTCAATACCACTTGACTATGTCAGATGCGACAGTAAGAAACTTCTGCACATATCAGTGTGTCATGTCATTTCAGGTACTTTTATTATTTACTTACATTCTTAGAAGGCAGATTTGTTTTTTAAATTAAAAACCCAACTTATCTACTGATGGTAACCAACTTTAGACAAAGAAGTCTTCATATGCGTTGTCTCCTCTTATCTCTTATTTTGTCTACATATTTTGCATCTGGTACTGCAATTATCAAACAGTTGCAGCATATCAAAAGTCTGCTGCTAAATACAGAGTTCAGCATTAGAATGCATAAGTGGTTTTTGTCATTGTTGCTGCACTTCGTAGGCGGGTTAGCAATCACAGTTATAATTATTGAGATGTTATTTGCTACTGCTGTGCTGTGCTGCTACTATTTCAGTTTCTCTCTGTCGCCTTTAATGACACCCAAAGGATGATAATATGAGTTAGTGGATTCTCATACGCCGCCCCTACACGGTACTTCTCAATATAACAACACGCGATATCTTCTTTTTTTTATAGAAGAGGTGGCAAACGAGCGTACGATTCACCTGATGTTAAGGGACTACCGCAGCTCATGACCAACCGCAACACCAGTGGAATTGCAAGTGCGTTGCCGGCCCTTTAGAAAGCAGTAAGCTCTTATCTTGAAGGTCCCCAGATCGTATCGGTCCGGAAAAATCGCCGGTGGTAAATTAGTCCACAGAGAGGTCGTACGCGGATGAAAACTCCTACTGAAACGTACAGTGGTGGACCGCCAAGCATCCAGATGGTGTGGATGGTATCGGTAGGTTTTCCGCGTAGTGCGTTCATGAAATTTGGCGGCTGGGATTAATCCGAACAATTCCTGAGAGCACTGCCCGTGATAGATGCGATAAAATACGCAAAGAGATGCAACATCTCTTCGCAGCGCCAGTGAATCGAGCCGATCGGGAAGCACTAGGTTGTCGACCTGCACTGGATGCGGTCAAGTGGAAGGAGCTGGTACTGAGGAGCCCCAGCCCAGAGATGGGAACAACCCACCACCTCCCATGGCCCCACCGACCCTCAGGTCGTACGGGCCGAATCTCTGGAGATGCGCGCGGTACTTGCACCTTGCTCTTTCCCGCGCGCACTTTCTTGACTCCCTACGAATATTTGTTCTATTCCTTGTCCCAGTTTAACGTCATTCTCCCCCTTCTGGGGCTGACGGCACAATAACGCCTACGTCGTCGGGCCTTACTACCAGCATTCTATCTTGCCTTATCCTGCGATCGTGCCACCTATGCGCAAACTCGCGCGTAGTTCACCCCATCGCTGACGAGATCCAAGTAGTAAATCGGTCCCTGAACCGTACGAACTAGTCCATCCATCTTTTTCGTTCTCTCGATGGTCGTCATACAGAGGACATTCCCATAGAACATGGTGAACATCCTCTTCTGACACACCACACTCACGCATACTCGTATCACACAGTCGCATGTCGCATAATCTCTTCCGAAAGAGATGGGAACAGTATTCCATGTGCAGCCGAACTTGCGCCTTGTAAATTTGCAGGCGGTGTGCCGGCATGAAATACTGTCCCGCTCTGCTGCGCACGTCAAGCTTTTTGGAGGCCAATTTGACTTCTTCCAAGTGACCACGAAACTGCACGTCACTCGATATGTCGACGCCGAAAATTCCGATACTGGTTGAGGCAACAAGAAGGGTGCCTCGACACTGAGGAGATACGACAAAGGGGTTTCTGAGGGTTAAACTGGACTAGATTCAGACACAAGTTTGTCCCGGTACTCGGAGACGTTTTCCCGAGAAATATTGGCACGGCCAGTGTACAGAGCATCACCAGTGCTATCATCTGCATAGCAATGAATCTTGCACATATCATTGATATGCGGCAGAAACAGTGTTGGTGATAGCACGCAGCCTTGTAGAACACCAGCATTAATAGGCTTGTAATCGGAGCTTGCACCGTCTACAATAACCTTGATGCTCCGATCTACAAGAAAGCTGATGATCCAATTGCACAATTTATCGGGAAGCCCATAGGAAGGAAGCTTCGAAGGAAGCGCTTTGTGCCAAACCCGATCGAAGACCTTCGCAATTTCCAAACTAACGGCCAATGCCTCCCCCCTTGGACTCTACTGCCGTATGATCATCATGAGTCAGGTAGACCAGAAGATCACCAGCTGATCGACCACGACGAAAACCGTGATGGCGATCACTAATCAGCTGGTGATTCTCAAGATACCTCATGAGTTGGCAATTTACAATGAATTCCATTGTTTTGGAGAACAAGGAGGTGATGACGATGGGCCTGTAGTTGGACGGGTCTGAGCGGTCGCAATTTTTAGGAATCGGGGGAAAGCAGTCTTCCATGATTTTGGAACTACGCCTAGAGAGTAAGAGTACCGGAAAAGACGCGTTAAGACCGGTGCCAACTCTGGAGCACACGTCCTCAGCACAATTGGGGGGATACCGTCAGGCCCACTCGACTTGTGGATGTCCAGGGAGAGGATTGCTTTGCGAACCGAGCGCTGTGTAAACCGCACCTCCAGCATGGAGCACTCACACCGCGGGATGGTCGGCGGCTTACTCCCCCCGTCATCGAGAGTCGAGTTCGTCGTCGAGTCGAGTCGCAAATAAAGAGCCTAGCAGATCGGTTTTTCTCCTTTGCGGCATGGTCCAGTGAGTCGTCCTCTCTGTGCAGAGATGGAAGAGATGGCTGACAGAAATTCCCCTCGGACAGCCTTGGCTAGAGACCAGAAAGCACGGGTTCCAGAAGGAAGGCGAACTAATTTATCGCCAATTCTGCCAATGTGCTCTGACTTTGCCTTGGCAATGACTCTTTTGAAGGACCTGGAGGCAGAATTATATTTCTTTTTTAGAGCGCTGGTGTTTACATCCCGGGACGTTGATGCGTCATCCCAGGCTTGGTAGCACTCCTGCTTATAGCATGATGCTATTTTACAGGAGCGACCAAACCAAGGTTGAGATTTGCCTTTGGTGGGCACCACTGAGGAAAGAATAAAAAGTTCCATACCCTGAAGTACTTCAAGTACTTGAAGTACTTCAGGGTATGGAACTGTCGCTGAACAGAGAGAAGTACAGTTCAGCGACAGAATCAGCAACAACGTTGGGATCGTCCGGCGAGAAGCAAACCCGCCCCCAAGGGTAAGATGCAAAGAAAGATCATCCTATCCCAATCGATTGACCTATGGTGCCAAACACGACGGCAGCCTGCAGAATGCAACCGCGATTTCAGCGTGAGTGACCACACTCCGGACAAGTCATTGGTCCGAGGAGCCTAAAGGGGCTTCGACGGAAATCTGATATCCGTCCGGATGAGAGGTCAGCAGAAGGTCCAACAGAGAAGGTGTATGATCCTCCACATCTGGAATCCGCGTAGGCGGAGTAACCAGTTGTGTCAGACCATATGTCAAGGCAAAATCATGAACAGATCTCCCTGCATGATCGGTTAAACGTGAACCAAGCCATTCGGCGAGGTGGGCGTTAAAAACGCCGAGGATCACGATCTCTGCAGAGGTCATCTGCTGTAGCAAAGAATTTGTAGCCATTTTGACGTGGTCGAAGAGTCGTTCTGTTTCGCGATTACCGCTATGGGGCCTATAGAGTCACCCGTAGACGCGCGGATGGTCGTCGCTGTCTACGCGTAGCCAAAGGATGGACAGGTCCGAACCTTCAAGACTGCCGAGGCGTCGAGAACAGATGTCCTCTCTGACGTATACGTAAACTCCAGCCCGAGGCACAAAGGAGTGTTCCAGTTTGTACCCCAGGTAGGAGAGCTACGCCTTGGTCTTGTTGCTCAGTTTACTCCGAGCAGTTGTTGTCTTGAGCGGAATATTGCCCCCCCCCCCCCCCCCCAGAATACGCAGGGCAGCCTGAGCACCCACGCTCAGGAGTGGAGTAACTTGATCGTGGATGCTCAGCGAGGAATTCTCCAGGGGTGCTGGTACCCTCCTGGGGTAGATCTTTACTTAATTGCGCTACCATGTTAAGGGGGGGGGGGCATTGGGCCTCCGGCCACCTGCACTCACCAGACGAAACGCGGAAGCTGAGCTTCCACTTCACGCCGGTATTCTGTGAGGTTGTGGTACCACCCCGGTTTGAGCCGGCCCATACGTGCAACAGCAAAGGCTGCTGCGTGGCTCTACCACTGTTATCTTTCTAGCCATACTCAAAACAAATTATTATGACGCTCAATGCACTTAATGAAGCCGTGTATTTTTTTAGCATAGCATTATGGTGGTTTTATATTTATTATTCCTCATATATCACATTATGATAACTGTCTAGTTGTTATACAATACGATATTTATAATTAACATTTACATTGACCGTGTTAGAATTACTATATATTTTACATGACCGATACCGATTTTGATCTCTGTTGAAATTAATTTAGTTGTAGATTTTTAGTGCTGATAAACATGCTTGATGGTAAAAGAAAACATTGTGAGGAAACCTGCTTGTCTGACTAATAATATATAAATATTTCTGAGACATGTAAAGTTCACTAACTCATAAAGCGGAGCATGGTGGGCTCTTCTGTAGTCCAAAACCCTTTTACTAATCAGAGCAAATGTTACGCGCATGTATGTTTGTTATTACTTTATTTTACTTTTTACATTTTTCAGGGTCAATACTCGAAACACGCTGCTCCATTGGTGTCGGGTGACTCAGTGGAACAAACAAAAGCAGTGCCCACTGGTGCGCCCAGGCGTACTTACTCAAATAAGAATAATGGTAACATTTCTATGTGAATATAGTCAACCTTATTTTGTGTATGCCAATAATAATTAGGGTTGCGTAGTCAACTAGGAACCCTTATAGTTTCGCCATGTCTGTCTGTCCGTCTGTCCGTCCTCGCTTAATCTCTGTGACAGTTAGCACTAGAAAGCTGAAATTTGGTACCAATATGTGTATCAATCACGCCGACAAAGTGGTAAAATAAAAATTGGAAAAAAATGTTTTATTAGGGTAGCCCCCCTATATGTAAATTGGGAAGTGATTTTTTTTTAATTTCAACCCTAACGTGTAATATATTGTTGGAAAGGTATTTAAAAATGAATAGGGGTTTACTAAAATCATTTTCTGATAATGTCAATAATTTCGGAAATAATCGCTCCAAAAGTAAAATACAATGTGTCCCCCCCCCCTGACTTTTGAACCATAAGTTTAGAAAATATGAAAAAAAATCTGAAAAGTAGAACTTTATAAGGACTTTCTAGGAAAATTATTTTGAACTTGGATGGAAACAACAGTACCCACTACCGGGAGCAGTTGCAGGAGCGCGGAGCGCTGCTGGAGCGCGAACATAATGGATACCCACCTTTAAACTCATAAGTGGGAGTAAGACACACTTATTGTGACGGAAGGGAAACTACGGAACCCTACACTGAGCGTGGCCCGACACGCTCTTGGCCGGTTTTTTCAGATAATTGATAGAACCAGGCATTACTTTGCGGAAATCCATTATAATAAAGATATTAATAGTTACTTTGCAACCATCTGCTAAATTAAATAAAATTATGTGTCTTCCCTAGTTTGAAGAGCACCTTCCGCACTCCCTCAATTGCGTGCACTAGTCCCGTCATCACTAATCCCAGCACCACTACTCCCAATACCACTACTTCCAACACCATTACTCCCAACGCCACTATTCTAGGATTTTTGATTTCTTATTTTCTGATTCTGACCGCTAATCAGCCGCCGTAGAGTCAACATGACCTGAAGATGCCTCATGTAGAGGCGAAACACGTGTCGTATTACCGTCGATGGTGTGTCTTTCCTAGAACAGTGGTGTTGGGAGTAGTGGTGCTGGGATTCGTGGTGACTGGATTAGTGCACGCAATTGAGTGAGGGCGGGAGATGCTCTTTAAACTAGGGAAGACACATCATTTAATTTAATTTAGCAGATGGTTGCAAAGTAACTATTAATATCTAATAATTTGAGTAGAGAGTTTTTTTGGTTTTTTTTTAGTGTTTTGATTAATTTCAGTTATAATTTAATTTATTATCAGTGCTGCTTTATGTAGGTTTCTCTTTTTTGTTGTTTGTAAGATTAACATATAAAGTACCTATCTTTTTTTAATTATATTGATGTTTAAAATTTTTACTACTTTTTATTATTGCAGCTGCAGCCAAAAATCAGCGTTCGTCGGGTCTGCCGGTGATATCTAACGTGAAGTCACTAGCGCCGCCGCCGCCTCTAGCAACGTCGGTGACGCGCGGCAAGTCGAAGCGGCTGGCCGCGGCGCAGGCGGCGCCCGCCGAACCGGAGCCCCAGGCGCCCAGCACGCCGCCCCCCTCCCCCCGAAGCCCCCCACACCTCCTCCACCACCCCCTCCAAAAATTTACAATCACGTTATTGTAAAAACCCTACCCCCACATGAAGTCGCGAACAAAGCGACCATGTCCAAACCTATGATGGTCTCAAAAGGCGTCTCGTGCCGTCCCCATCCTTGCACAAAGGAATGTCAAACAGACTCTAGCCTAGAAAGGAGAGTGTTAATACCAGTCCCGGTGCCGATTTATGTTCCTGTGCCGTGTGCGATGTGGTCCTTACCCTTTCCCATACCTGTACCTATTCCACTCCCAATTCCTACTCCTGTCTTTATTCCTACTACGAGAAATTCGGCTAAGGGTATAATGAAGGAGATCAATAAAATTCAAGATAAAATGCCAACGGATCCCTTCGAAGCCGAGTTATTGATGATGGCAGAAATGGTAGCTGGTGATAAGAAAAAAGATCAGAGTGATTCTGATACAGAAGATGAGAATGGTAAGAGATTCACACTTAATATGTTTATGAAATTAAATTAAATTGCGAGCTAGCAAAATTTTACCCTCAGAGGGGCAACTATTATATGGCCTTCTATGTTTAAAGTTGATTGCAAATGATTATGGTCTACAGTAAAGCGGGCTACATACGACACGATATCGGTGGCGATCTAGGGTGGAGTAGTGGGGATGCCTCCTAGATTGCCTCTAAATCGTGTCGTATGTAGGGCCATCCTAAGTCGTGGCCGATATCGCCTCCTTAATCGGCTGGCAGGAGCAAAAATGCTTCCTAGATCAGCCGATGCTTCCTAGATCGGGGCACCGCCCCCTCCTTACTGCGTGTGTGTAGGCGCATCGGCCCGATTTCTTTTGGCAGTCGCTGCCGGCAACACTCGCGGAAGGAAGTTAACAAAACAGTGATACTGAATGACATTTTTTATATAACAAAATTTTTACATTTTAATCATATAAACGGAGTAGAAGCCTATGGCACTGATATTTTACAAAAAAACCAAAAAAAAGTGAATAAAATAAATAAATTAATTGAAATTTTATCGAAATTCAAATAATATCCACCCTAACCTGTGACCCTGCGAATTGACATGGTCAAAAATGCCTACTAAACTAATTTTTTTATTGCCGTTCGTAAAGTAGAGTGTATGATGTAAGTAAGGAGAAGATAAAGCCTCTCCTCAACAACTAACTCCTATTCCAACGCTATCAACACAAGACCGCACTCATATCTCTTACAACTCCACAAGACCACACTTCGATCTCTTACGTGCCTTCATCCTCTTATCAACAACTAACTTCTACTCCTTCACCATCTCCACATCAACAAACAAGTTATATAAAAGGGAGTATGTCCGAAATTAAAGGTTTCTTTACGTTTAAAAAAAGATATAAGCTATTTTATTTTCTGATAGTTTTACTCAAATAAAGATTACATTAAAAAAAAAGTATACATATTATTATACAAAAGTATTTTATTTCCTTGTTTGTTGTGTGTAGTACATAACCAGATTTTGACCAAAGCAGAAATGAACAAAGAGAAGAAATAACTAAATAGCATAGGTAGGAGAAATTGACGTTTTTATATAAGTGGCGAGATCATTTCTAGAACGTTATAAAAACTTCATCCATCCGGAGAAAATTAATCACGTCCTTGGATTACAGGCCATTTAGTACGTTTATGTGGCTTAATTTTTATCTCTTTTGGAGCCATTTTTTCACCCAGCAACTTCTCTTTTTCTATTTTCGAATAAATTAACCGAGATGGCTAATGCCAAACCAACACGGTGGTGTTTTAAGAGAGTCGGAGGTATTTTGAAGAACTCTACCGCATATGCATTCCGCTCCAAGTCCGAACGCGTACTGTTAGGCAGGCCCGTGTGTAAGGTCTACCCCGATAAAAGCCCCGATTTCTTTCCACCCTAGATCGCCACCGATATCGTGTCGTATGTAGCCCGCTTAACCACTGACTACAAGGTAGTTTATATTATAAAAAGAACATTGGGCCATTTTGAACTACGAAAAATCATAAATTGTTACTGATCTGAGACTCACCAAAATGTCATCAGTTTATGCCTAAAAGTGGGGAAATATAAATAAACGTCGTAAGAAAATAAAACTTTGCTTATCAGAATGCAGTATTAAAAATCTTATTACGTTTAATTAGAGAAGTACATAGGTGTCAAACAGTATAGAGAGTAATCTAATAAAAAGTACCCTGTGATTAAATCACTACGTTTTATCCATACTTTTTCTAGTCTAATTCGATTTTGTTTCTGTATCGAAATTAAATTCTATGCAATGGCAACCATATAAACTTATGTTAATTATTTAACAAAGAAAAACCTTTCGTTTTAAAATCTACAGGTTATAAATATATCACATAACCTCAAAAAACATTGCATGAGGACTAAATTCTCCATACTTGTCTACATAGTATAAAACAAAGTCGCTTCCCGTCGTCTGTACCCTTCTTTCATCATCTTATAAACTACGCAACGGATTTTGAGGCGGTTTTCATTAATAGACATAATTATCTAAGGAGGTTTATACAGGGTGTTAGTGTAACCACCGTTATCCTTGAAACCAGTGGTTTGGTTTCACTTATAGAACGTAAATTCAATGAAAAATAACATTATTTTTTTTTTTTAGTAAAATCTCCATTTATTCCTTAATTCCTCAATTTTTGCCAGTCCTAAGCCAGGATGCAAGTATGAAGGAAAAGTTACATCACAGGTTATGTGTACCTATTGTGTTTTTATTGTAATGTGTAGTAGCTAGCGCGGGCGGTGATCTTTACAGTGATTACGTCACTCGAGCGCATAGGGCATCCATGAATTTACGGACGGTGTCGGACAGAAACTTTTTAAATTTTATGAAAGAAAATAGCGTTATTTTTTTAAATCGGATAAATATTTTTATATTAAAGCCAACTACCTATGGTTTTAGTGACAACGGTGTTTACACTTACACCTTGTATAAGGTTTATATGTATAATACATGCATATGTTTTCGAAATCCAAAAATCATCCGTGCGTAGCCGGGGTGGATCATTAGTTTTTGCTGCACTTTGTCATATTTGTTATAGGCTAATGAAATGTCATATGTTTCATCGAGTTATATTATCTTTCTAGTCCAAGCATGTTAGGATAGAGTTTGTCGTTAATAACTAGCACATTGAAAGAGTAGCATAAAGCATTGTACTGAACATGCAGTTTGAAGGCTTGTCCAATATTTAAGGCATATATAAGCATGCCATGAAATAAAACGTGCTGTTCAACTGATTTAACAACACTACCCTTCAGTGATGGTGTGTATAATTAAATACGATATTTACAGAAGAAAGCTTTAGTCCAGTCGGTGGGATGGATGGAAACAACGCGTTTGGTGAAGACATGCTTCAGATGGCGCTTAAAATGGCTACGGAGTATGAAGACCAGCCTGTCGATCTTGAGTCGGCTATGACGGCCAACACTATTACGCCGAGTTCACATCCCGGTATGCCAGGTACGATTTTTTGTTAAAAAGTATAAGTTAAAGGCTTATTTTATGTTTTCAGCTGTTTAAACTATCATTACCATTATCATTCCTCCCCATAATATGTCTATTGCTAAACGTAGGCCTCTTCCGAAACATTAAATAAAGCGCGGTCCGTTTTCCTAAACTCGATTGTGAAAATAATAAGTTATTAACATAGAATACTATAATACACAATAGAATGGCTATCAACCTTACTTTGTTGGAGGGTTGGCGTCGCCGGGAGCACACATACAAACAATTACGTCGTATTATCAGTTATCACTACTACAAACACATTTTAGACTTGATTAATGTTTTTGACACATAAATATTTCTTTATTTTTGTTTCTAATATTCACAAAATATAAGTAGTTTCGATTTACTGGTTGTAGAATATGTCTCCTTTATTTAAATTCCATTTCCCGCTGCTCTTTCGACACGTAGTTATTGCACAATTTGCCATTTTTTAAATAATTTGCAGCGACACTTGACACGAAAATTGGAAACGATTGATTGTGTTGATATTTATAGGTTGTGAATTGACGTGCGAGTGGCTACACGGGCTCCGCCCACTCCCCCGTTCTATTATGTTTGTATTATAGTATTCTATGGTTATCAATATATCATTACTAAATTGAATTGTGGAGATTTTGGCGAGAACTTGACTGTTAGTGGGTTCTTGCATCTTTACTATAGTTTAAATTATGGATTGAAGAACATTTTAATACATAAAACTGGTGCGATTATTATATTATATTCTGCGCCTGTGAACTAATAGTGGAAACAATGAAACAAGTGGGTACAATTGTAATATAAACATAAGATATTTTGTTCGCTCAGGTGCTTTTAGGACTTGACAGTACCATCATCGACTATCTTCTGGCTTAAGCCGCTGTCGAGACCTTTTAAAAACATTAAAATGTGTCAAATCAACAAATTATTCTGGAAATATATATTAATATTTTATCTGTATTGTGTATTGTTTGTAATATTATTTTTGGTTGAAACTTGGCCAAGCCACAATAAATGAAAAAGATAATTTTTTTTTTATAGAATGACAAACATCACACAGTCCACCTGAAGGTAAATGAATGCTGTGGTCCATAATCCATATATATCTATATCCATCCATTCTTAAATAAGAACCAAAATGCAGTTGCATTGTTACTCCTGAAGACAAATAGAGTGACTTGATATAGGTAAAAAGGGTCTTTTGTTCTTTACACTCACTATTTGAAATGAAGCAGTATTAAGTTGCATGTATTGTTTACAACATAAACCAATTAAATTTATTTCAATACAAAGTTTTTATTGGAAAAACTGTAATAATGCTTATACTGATTAATTACAACATATAATTAGTACCACATTGTACAAGGGCGCGTATTGAACGTAAAATATTTTATGCGGTGATGACGAAAAGCTATTTTGTTGATTTTTTACATAACTGTACACTTATTTTAGGTTGGTATTCTTTGCATTCATTCTAAAACCATACTATAGTTGCAGAATTGATACTTCTTAGAATAGTTTATTGAAAAACAAAATGATATACTATATAGTTTAACCTAAATCAAAATATATTGTATTATTTTCCTTGAGGTCTTTCAAATTGAGTATATATTTCTGTTTCTTAAATTAGTCAGTTATTTTAAGATATGTTAAGCTTTGAAATTAACACTAAAAGTGAAATTAATAATACCTCTATTGAGTTTTCTTGATACCGTTCGTAGAACCAAACTTTTTTATTTAAAATAGATTATTATAGTCAGTCTGTTTTTTTTTTACAAAGTGACGAATTAAAATACTGCGTAAATTCAATTGCTCTGATTTTCAGCGACGACACCAAGTTGTATTTGATAAAAAATTTTATTTCATATTTATATTATAAGTAATTAGATGTAAACCCACATAAAATATAATCTTCGAACTCAAAGCCACAATTATCATCAAGTGTGATATGCAATTTTCAACTCAAAACCCGCTTTGGGTAGATAAAAAATAGACCGCGCTAACCTGTTTAGTTTTCGGGCAGCGCTTGAGTTAAAAGGTTGGTTCTGGACGTTCTGTGTCGCATTGCATCGCATCGCGCTCTCTGCGGGACGCGCGGGTGTAAAACGAATTTAAATTCGTACTTAGACCTCGTCTTAAAAAAATAACAAGTTACAATCGTGTATGTTTACAATCAACACAAAAAAAGTAAACCCATGAAATCCAATCGTGCAATACAATACAATACCCTTTATTAAACACTAAGAAAACAACATAACGAGAAACAAACAAAGAGAGAAACAAAAGGCGGTCTTATTGCTATGCAGCAATTTCTTCCAGACAACCTAAATAGGAAATAAAAATAAGTGAAAAGGTTAAGTAATGGGTAGAGTGCACTACAAATAATATTATATCATAAATATAAAAGAAATTTAATAAACATGCCGGAATTTACTTAATTGACAGTCTAGTGATCATAAAACGACAGGAATGCATAAAAGGAAGAGGGATCGTAATAAATTTCATGCGGACAGTCGCAGGGAAGAGTTAGTAAATAAATAAATGAAGTTGAGTCGCTTGTGGCACAGGTCTGGAGGGCGAGGGCATGCACGCGCAGCAGCTGATAGCGCTGGAGCAGCAGCGCGCGGTGGCGGCGCTGCGCGCGGCGGCGCCCCGTAAGCGCACGGGCGCGGGCGCGCCAGACGCAGCCGCAGCTGCAGGCGCGGGCGCGCGCGCCACGCGCTCAAAGCGGCGACGTGCCGAGCCCGCGCCGCCGCCGCCCGAGCCGCCGCGCGAGCCGCAAGAGAAACCCGACGCCAATATGTGCCTCAAGGTACAACCACGCCACATCAACCTAATATCACACCACACCACACCAACTCCACATCACACCACACTAGACGTGTGTCAATCATTCATTTCTAGCGACCGAATCATTCTAGTACATTTCGTCACGCGTACTGGTACATTCGGATCGATCATTCAAATGGATCATTTCAGGCTCCAGTATTCTGTGGGTCTGTGAGATCTATTGGGAAACAAAAATTTTCTATTTGAGATTTACAATAGCGTTATTACCTAAAGCATCTATTACATGCTTTAGGTAATAAAGTCATTTTATCGAACTAAAACTTATTGACTTTCAAGGTGGTCAATACAATACAATCGACGCTAGATGGCATAAGATACAAAAACCTCAAGTAATATTTAATAAATTTGTTCATTCATAAATTTCATTCCTAACATTACACAATTTTATCTTACTTTACATATCTAAAAATAGGGAAACATTTATTTGTTACAAAATTAAACTTTTACTTATCCTATATTTATATAAGGTGGTTGAAATTTATCATATTAAAGAAATCATTTATCATAAAATCTTTTGAAGTGTTATTTTTAGTAAATTCTACGAAATGATATTTTTAACTCATAGATGTAACAAATAAACATAATAAAATGTAAAATAATTTTTAACATTTTATTATGTTTATTTGTTTATATATGATACTCTGCAGTCTGCATTGTTAATTCGACTCGCCTGTTTATTCAGATCATTCGAGATTCGGTCGGTTTGCGGCTCATTCACAATTCAAACAAATCGCGGGTTAAAAAGGTTCCGTCAATTGTTTGTGACTTTTAAGTGTACCAGCACAAACGAACGAATCATGCATGATTGACACATGTCTACACCACACCAACCCCACACCTCACATAATAATATTTTTTTATATATAGAATTTGGGTATCAAACGAATACACAGTCCACCCGATAGTGACTTCTTTGCTCCATAGACATCAACATCTATCGTCTAAAAATACAGGTGCGTCGAAAAATGGAATACCTCATTTCCGGTAAAAAGGGTATCCAGTTGTCTACGCCACTCACCATATGAAACACAACAGCATTGAGCTGATATTTTACTTCTCGTATTCTGTGAGACTGACGACCTTCGCTGGTCAAGCCAATCTATTCATGCTACGACTATAATATAACTGCAGCATGATTTTACCACATATAAATTTTATTATTTATTATTTTAATATTAAGTTTATATATTGTGATACTTTAAAAAAACATTGATTTATGAAACATTTATTGATTGCCACATTGGTCTTACGTATACTCAATTATTAATCACCAAATCCCAGGTCGAGCCAAAATCAAGTTATTGGGTTTTGCTATCAATAAATTCTCCATAACAAGCCTGGAGTCAGGAAATTGAAGGTATTCCACCCCAGTGCCTCGGAAACCACATAAAGGCGATTGTCCTGTGCCTTTTCTGTCGTATCGAATTACCATCCTATCAAAGTAATAAGAGTGAAGAAATAAAGAATGCACCTATCCCCGCGCAATTCACTCTGATGTTATAATCCTGACCTGATGACTAAATAAATGACTAGCAACCACTGAGACTGGCTGTCATGACTAAAAGACATTATTATAATAAAACACATATATCTAATATCCATTGTGGCATTACTCCAGAGGCTTGGAGCAGAAGTATAATGGTTTTGTTCTACAAGAAAAGCGACAATGCTCTCTTAAAGAACTACAGTTCGACTTCCCCTTTAAGCCGCTTCCTCGTTCGTCTACATGCTGTTTTCGAGAGTCTTTACGGATCTTCTCGCACGTAGACTTAGCCTCCTGAATATACCGGTTTCCAAAAAGGCTTTTAATACATATCCACAAATTTTGCTCGTCTGAGAGCACAATATGCTTAAAAAGTTGTACAAAGTTTTTCCTTAACATATTAATATATAGATGATTTCCCCCAAATCAAATTTCTGTCCCGGCGCAGGACAGGATCATAGTGTACAAGTGTTTGTGCAAGCACCCGGACACCCTATTGCCACACTCTTATAGTCTGGATGAAGATTGATCAGCCGAGGGACCAACAGTTTTCACAACAGCGATAACTTTCTGTCTTATGCCTGCAACTGAGAATTTTTTGACAAAAAAACCAATAACTGAATCTCAATCTGACTCAATTAGGCCCCAACCGGATTCGAGCTGTACTTATGATCACGCAGTTCAATATACATCCCATATAAAAAATCTCCCACCCCAACCAATTGTATGGTGAAAATAATTTTAAGCCTTGATATAAATTACATCTTCAATATATCTTATACTTTAATTAAAAATATACATACTCCTGAAGAGAGTATAATATCTACCATATTCCCTTTTAATAATTAAACCTGTTTTTTTATCTTTAGATTTTTTATTTAAGTACATAATTTATTTGAATAGTTCAAATTTGCATTGTATTATTGATTGGATGATATTTGTACTCCAAATTAACCCAAAAATGCATGACTCAATCTGTGAATGTTATGTACACTTGTAATTGATATACATATCAGAGAGTATAGAAATCTGTATGTTTTCGTGATTGTTATATATGTGTATTGTAAGGGTACTTGTTAAATAAAATAAAAAAAAAATAAGCCAAATATTAGAAATTGTTTATTTGCATTATCAGTACACTTTCGGCGTAAACGCGTGGAAGCAGTGGGTGATGACGAAGAACGCGGAGATCGAGAAAAGCTCAGTGCGACGCAAGCCATTCAAGTCAGAGATCCTGCAACTGACGGCCGACGAACTCAATTACTCACTTTGTCTCTTTGTAAAGGAAGTGCGCAAGCCCAACGGAAGCGAATACGCACCAGATACCATTTATTATTTGGTTTTAGGTTAGTTCTGGCTTTTCATGAAATTAATGCAGTTTGTGTATTAACAATAGAACATTTATCTTAGTCATCATTCTTGAACAAGGGCAAAATCAATTTATTTTCGATGAAATGAAGAAATAATATATTGCTTGATTTTGTGCAACAGTTATAAATTACTAAGACATCCAGGAAACAAATTTAAGGAACTTATAAAAATAAAACTTACAAACACAATTCTCAACTTCACAATAGACACAATTCTTCTTATATAGTTCTTAAAAAGAATTAAAATTGGTCCACTTTGGAGGAAACTTGGAATACAGAAAGATGATTTTGTTAAATTTTCATAGATATAATTGGTACAAGCTGCAATTGCCTAGCTCGGTCGCTCGGGCATAATGCGACGGAAATAGAGCATTAAAAATCTACCCTCGGATTTAATTTAACCTCTATTATTAAATGAACAAATGGAAATAATATTTTAGTATGACTTTTTTTTTTTTTATATATATATATATATATATATATATATATATATATATATATATATATATATATTTCCTACTATTTGTTCGTGGTTTGTAAGTTAAATGCTTTGGTAGAAAAATCTCGAAATTCGAGAATATTCGGACTGGCGTCCAAAAAATATAAATTATCTTTTTATTTTTCAGGAATTCAACAATATCTATTTGAAAATGGAAGGATAGACAACATATTCACAGATCCTTACTACGAGAAATTTACGGATTGCTTAGACGAAGTTGCAAGGAAATTTTCAGTTTTATATAATGATTCTCGTGAGTATAACTTTTTAGTAAAATAGTGTGATAAACTAGCCAATGTTCACTAATCACGACGTTCCATAGATTCCACACTATGACGTTGGCCCGAGTTTTAGTTTTAAATTCCAACCAGAGACAACATTTTGTCAAAATCACAACTTGTTGCTTTTTGGTACTGATTTTGATTTTGCTTCTGACGGTGTATCCTGTCCCATCTCATCCGTCTGATGTTATAGCACAATCGTTACGCCGGTTATTGCTATTTCAGGACGAGTGAGTGCTTCAGTGCAAATTGTACAGATATCTTTCTTTCTATCTCTCATCGTCAGTACTTTGTAGGTATGTTATTATCAACTCATTAGAAAATTCTTACAATAAATAATTTTTTAATTGAAGTCCATGTATTCCATCTGGGGCGGGCTTAAGTCAGAGAACCCTACGTGACATTCGCACATATCAGAAATCCTATCATAGTAGTCAGGCAGGGCGTTGATAGATATGGGACTTCATATTCGCTCCTAAGATTGCTTATGAAAACAGTTTGTTTTGTCTATATTGATTAAAGAATAAATTGAAAATTACGTTTATTATGAAAATATCTTTATTTCAATGAAACAATAGCAACTTTGATAGTAGTAACATGATATTGGTGGGGCAATAATTTCTTTCAGTAACCCCAAAATAACATAACTTTAATTTTTTCAATAAAATCTTAAGTTGCGTGTTTAAACTACACCTGCGCAAATCCTTATTTGTGAGATTCTTAGGAGCTATTTACTTTGATTAAAACTACTTTTACGGATTTTATCGCGTTTAATTTTATTTTTTTTTTAATTCCCGACGTTTCGCGTGCTTTCCAACACCCATGGTCACTGGGGGCTGAGATGATTGACGACCCAATGTCATTGTTAAACCCGGAGTACCTTCAGCTTTTTTAATTATTGTTTATGGTCCGATCTATATGTTCCTAGGGGATGGAGGGAAGTGAAAGTCACATTCATACCCAAACCAGGTAAGAACGACTATACAGACCCTAAATCTTACAGACCTATTAGCCTCACATCCTTTCTCCTAAAGACGATGGAGAGGATGTGTGAACGGGAGTTGAGAGGGTCGGCGCTAATTAACTTACCGCTACACGAAAAACAACACGCCTATAGCTTAGGTAAATCAACAGAATCGGCACTTCACCAGGTAATAACAAAGATTGAAGAGGCCATCCAAAACAAAGCAATATGTCTAGGCTCCTTCATAGACATAGAAGGTGCTTTTGACAGAACAAATTTCTCCAGCATAAAAGCCCTAAGTAGACATAATGTTGAACCGGCATTGATTGACTGGATAGTAAACATGCTCAGTACATGAATCTCATCATCATTGCTGGTGAATCTCAGACAATTCAGATCATGAAAGGATGCCCGCAGGGTGGGGTTCTTTCACCTCTCCTCTGGAATATGGTCATTAATGAACTCATCAGCAAATTAAACGCTAATCATTTCTACACAGTCGGTTATGCAGATGATCTGACAATACTGGTCTCTGGTAAGACAGCAAGCATTGTGTACAACTTAACCCAAGCGGCTCTCCGTATTGTGGAGAGATGGTGCAGGGAATATGACCTAACCGTTAATCCAAATAAAACGGTTATAGTAATGTTCACACAAAAACGAATGCTGAATAACTATCATCTTCCAAGTCTTTTGAGCACAAAACTCCAACTTTCTTCCGAGGTAAAATACCTAGGTCTTACCTTGGACAGTAAACTTAACTGGAACAAACACATAGAAAACAAAATCAGCAAAGCTAGTTTAACTTTATGGCAGTGCAGAAACATGATCGGCAAACGCGCCAAAAATTATACTGTGGCTGTACAAAACTGTAATTCGGCCCATGATCACATACGGATGTCTGGTATGGTGGACCAAAACCAATGAAGCCACCACTATACAAAAGCTTCAGCGTTACCAGAGATTAGCTTGTATGGCTGCCACGGGCTGCATAAGGACAACACCAACAGCAGCTTTGGAGGCTATGCTGGAGCTAACACCGCTTCATCTACATATACAACAAGAAGCAACTTTAGCTGCCATTAGACTCAAGACCCTAAATCTTTTAAGTAAGAGTAGAGTCCCCCATACAGATATAATCAATAGAATTTACTCAAAAATTCCTATCTTACAAGCCAAGTATGATAGGATCCCAAAACAATTTGTATTCGATAAGAAGTACAGGATACAATTGAAGGAAACTGACCATCTGGAAGGATTGGGTCCAAGAGAGCTCAAGTTTTCACGGATGGCTCTAAGATAAATGAAGGTGTGGGGTCTGGGGCTTTCTTTGAAGACCTTAATATCCACATATGCACACCGCTGGGTACCCACAACACAGTCTTCTAGGCTGAATGCATGGGTATCATCCAAGCGGCCATAGCAATAGATGCTAGGAAGGTGAAAGACTTCTACATCAGAATACTGACCGACAGTATGGCGGTACTACAAGCTCTGAGTTGCAATGTGACGAACTCGGGACTGATACACGAGTGCCATCAACAATTGAATGAGGTATGTAAGTACAACAATGTGACTCTGCAATGGATCAAGGGACACAGTGGATCTAGAGGCAATGATGCAGCAGATGAACTGGCCAGAAGGGGATCGGCCCTAGCAACTATAGAGCCGGAACCAATAATACCAATCCCCTTTGGCTATGTTCGTTCACTGGTACATAGATACTTCAATAATTTACACGCTCAGCTTTGGAAAAATTTAGTGGACTGTAGACAAGCTAGGGAAGCCCTACCTGAAATAAACAGTCATCTAACCGAGGTTCTAATGAGACTGAACAAGCCACAGATCAGGATAGTAACAAGTGCTATCATAGGACATGGCTCTTTTAACAAACATTTGTTCACCATAGGTGTTACTGATAGCCCCCTGTGCAGGGCATGCATGGGAGAGGAAGAAACGGCGGCTCACGTGTTGCTGACATGTCCAGAAGTCGCTTCATACAGGGCTAAACATCTCGGCACGCCGGGATCGCTCCCCGAAGTTGCTTGCAACATCAAGGGACTGCTGAGCTTCTTCGCGGAGATATTATGGCTCGAATAAGCATATTATTCCTGCCCACACGCAAAATACGCGCTTAGACGTGAAGTAGCGGAAAACAGCCTGTCGTAAACTAAACTAAACTAAACTAAATGGTCCGATCTATGCAAAATGAACTGACTGTGTCTTGAAGTCTTGCAGTGGTATGCTTGGGTTTAGTTTTAATTTTATTAACCATAGGGTCCCAAGCAGGTGGTAGTACCCAGCCTCCTTCTCTGTTAAAATTAGGATGGATTTTAATTTCAATAGCCTCACTTATCCTTGGTGGGAATCGGTGTTCTTTTGCGAGGATTTGTGGTCTGTCAAATCTGATGTAATGGTTGGGGCCGTCTAGGATATGATCACAAACTGCAGACTTATTATTAAAAAGTTATATTAAGTAATAAAAAATCTATTAAATTTCTATATAATCATGATTCCGTGATAGCCAACTCCAATTTTTATAAAAGAAGTAAATACTTGATGAATTTTCTTACAACTAAAGCACAGAAATGCGAAATAATTATTGGTAACATGCGTCTTCTCATAAAGTTATTAATATGTGGTAGAGCCACGCTGCAGCTATATTATGGTTCTAGCATGAGTGGGGTCCGCTTGACCGGGGTAGGACCATTTACAGAATACCAGCATAAAATAGCAGCTTAATACTGCTGTGTTTCATATGGTGAGTGCACAGATCCGGAGACCCTTTTTTACTGGAAACAAGGCATTCCATCTTAGTGCTCAGGGGTGACAATGCATCTACGTTTTAATTCCTAATCGAGAATAAATTTATATGTCTGTGGGCCATAATGATTGACACTAATGGACAGGAAATTTATTAATAAACATTTTGAACTTTTTAATTGTTTCAAAGGACTGAAATTCGATTTTATAAAGAAAATATTTTAAAATTTGGGCGTATTTCTTACGCGATATATTGTAGCCAGCGCGCGTGGAATGTATAGGACCGAACGTTTAAATACGGTAGAGTAGAGTAGCACCTTAAATACAGATTATTATTATTACTGAAAAAAGGAGCGAAGTAATTAACCAATTACCATAACTATATAATCTATAATAACGCGCAATATGTGTATTTGCATCTCTAGTCTTAGTTACCGCATGCACTCCCAGCTTCTATTAGCCACTTGCTAATTTCAGCCCGGGCAAGATAGAACGCGTGGTCTTTATTCCCAAGATGACAACAATATATTTGAAGACACAATTTTCAATATAAAATTATGTTTATGTTTTCCACATTTAGAGCCATGGTAGCTCAGGTGGTTAGTGCTCGCTGTAAATTACACAGTACGCGAGCAACCCGGGTTCGATCTCCGCCTGCACCAATGAAATTGTTAATTGCAGTTTTAAGTGCTGATTTACCACGTGCTAGGCGGTGATGGAAAACATCGTGAGGAAGCGTGCATGTCTGAAAAATAAGAGATCAAAAATTATTTGAAGTAATGTGAAATTCGCCAATACGCATTAGGCCACCGTGGCGGACACTTCCAAACACTCAGAAATGAGGAGACGTGATGAGAGAGTGTGCCCAGCAGTGGGACGTATATATAGGTTGTAACTTTATCTTTTTTTTCACACTGAAAGTCCCGAAAATAAAAATGCAGTGACAAGACTGCGTGCCACCGCCTACGTATTCCTTTTGCATATAAATTATATGTTACATACTAGTAACATTCAATACAAGGCTACACCACTGGCCATGCTTCATATAATAAACCAAAATTGAGTATTTGTCAAACAAAGTCTTAAAACGGAGGCAACTAAATCATGTCCAGTTTTACATGACACAGGTTTGTGTTGTTACCGCACGAATCCATTTGTCGTATCTCGTCAATTTCAGAGCAGTCCGCTTATTATCTCAACCGGCATCTGTATACTCGGCGTTGACATATCGAGTGACATTCAGTTCTACGATCACTTAGAAGGGAAGGCCAAATTATCTTATAAAAAGCTTGATGTGCTCAGTGGTCACTATTTTGTGATGGCACACCGCTTGCAATTTAACATTTTTTTTGTGACAAGCCGATGATGGTAAGTGTGCTGTGCCCATACATCTCCATCTGCGTTTTCGACTTAAAATAATGCTTGTCACCTTGAGGAGAATCTTTACTCACCATACTATCTCCGGGTTGGGGCACCTTATGCCCGGACCTTCCACTTGACGGCATCCTCAAATCGTCTACGTCCAAGTTCTGTCTGACTGGCTTGCTTCACCATCGAAGTGAATAGATATTGCACCTTAATTCAAGAATTGTTCGGACCATCACATGTCGCGACAAAATTAGCGATACCATCCATGCCATCTGCATGCTTGGCATTCCACCATAGAGCTGTTTATTAGAAGTGATCCCTTGCACTACTTGTTTATGGAATCAGCTACTACCAGTGATTTGTGATTTTCCTTAACCGACACAACTTTCAAGAAAAACGTCTTTTTAAAAAGCTGGCAATGCACTTGCAAATCCACTAGTATTGCAGTTGTTTATGGCGGCGATAGTAATTTAACCATCATATTTATGCAAACATTACAGATTGTCGGACTTTGTTCCGCCGCAGTCGGGAATTAAGAACAAATAAAATTAAACGCGATAAAATCCGTAAAAATAGTTTTCGTCAGTATTATATCATAAAAAGAAGTTTGTCTGTCTTCTTCTATAAAAAAGAAGTCTGCGTGATTTCATACATCTTATTCTATCTATCTCAAAATGATATAAAAACAATACTGGATGATACTAAACATTATATAATTTGTTGCTATGATGAAAGCTGTTTATTTTTATTATTATTTAGCTGGCCAGCAGTTAAACAGCCTGTGATTTTGTTTTAAAACTATAATTGTTATATTTTAGTTGTTTGTCCAATCTGTTCTTAAATTGGTTTATGATTTGTGCTGATATCACTTCTAATGGCAGCTTATTTCATGCTTCAACTACTTTTTGCTAAAAAAAGTGCTTTGTGGGTTATTATGTGATACAGCATTAGTTAATTTGAGGTGATGCCTCCAAAGATGTGTGTTGTTTGAGTGGAAAAATAGTTTATCAAAATTTTCTAGATCGTAGTGTCCATGTATAATTTTATATGTTTAAATCAAACTATCCTACAAAAAGGCAGATACGGGTTTCATAATTAACTATTATTTTTTATCCGTATCTAGTATTTATGACGCATGGGAGAATGTACTCGCAATACCTTTTTTAATATTATAGTAATAAACAATCTTACACTCCACTTGATGGTAATTAGCTTCTTCAGATCATGGACATCTGCAAAGTATACCCTGTCATTTTACTGGCTCTTTGACCCTTTAAATCGGAACACTCTGTGGTTGCTGTTTAGCGACAGAAAAAAAAAACGGAGGGAGTTTATTATGTATAAATATTTGAATGTGAAAGAAGCGACAGAGGTTTGTCACAATGGAAGTCCCTACATACACCTTAGCGTGACAGACGTGTGTTTATGTACGTATTTATCTTATAATGCGAAAAATATTACAAATTTTTTACCGCTATAGTAAATAATCCATGCCTTTGGGCTAATTAAACCCCTAAACTGCAAATTTTCTAATTACCATTCATGTGTGATTACTTAGGGACCATCAATATTAAAATATTGAAGCAAACTAATTTAAATTAGAAGCAAATTAATTATTAAGCGGGTATGCCTTAACTTACTTAATTTTCACAGAGTACATAGTGACGAGGGTAGAAGAGGAACATTTGTGGGAGAGTAAGCAGTTAGGCGCACATTCTCCGCACGTTCTTTTATCTACGCTTATGTTTTTTAATACAAAACACTTTAATTTAGTGGTAAGTTCATTGGGCTATTTTGTGATTATAATATTTAAATATCTATTAAGGTGTAAATACACTTCAAACATTTTTTCATCAACTAATAATAATAATAATAACAATGTTCTCCAGACCGAATTTCGGTCACGGCGGCGCCAGCCTTAACGGAGAGTAGCCATCGGCACAGGACAGGAATATAGTACCCAAGTGTATGAGCAGGCACAGGTGTACTCTCTATTCCCTCACTCTCATAGTCCCATGGGATGGTTACCCGACGCGACCGGAGAGAGATCAGACGCAGCACCAACGGTTTTTCGTGCTTTCCGAGGCATGGGGGTGAGACACCGCCAACTTCCTGACTTTGGGCAGTTACTGAGAATTTCTTGACGGAAAAACTCAATAATCGATTTTTTGGTACGACCCGGGATTGGAATCCGGGACGTCATGATCAGCGATCGCGTTTACGACCACTAGACCAACGAGACAGTCCATCGAGGAACATCTAGGGACCCATTCAAACACACACGAAAAATTTCATCAAAATCGATTGGATGACTTCAAAATCTATAACGGACATGGTAGAAACATTTTTTGGTGTTTTATATGGATAGATGGCACCCAACAATTCAATTTACATCTACTTTATCTACATCATAAAAAAGAAAAATGGATTCATCCAAAAGCTTAAAGGAGCTTATAATACATTATTTATCGAGCTAGAAGAAAATCTATTAATTCAATTTTTCAACACCTTTCTTCGATTAGTTTTAATATTATGAATGATAGACAAGCAGCTAAGATTAATTGCACATTTATTCATTATTAGCGATCCACCCTGCCATGTGAATCTAAACCATCTAGAGACCTATTCAACACACATACAAAACATCATTAACATCACAACATTTACTAAAATAAAATTAATATTTACTCAAGTTACGTGCTTATAAGCTTATTTAGAACATTTTAGAAGCCGAAGGGTCTTTTAAGTGCTGCTAATATCGTTTCTCTCTCTCTACATAGTATGTTATGCACTTATATCAAACAAATATAAAATAAATATTTAATAATAAAGTTAAAGTCAATTAAACAAGCTTACAATTTTTATGGCTTAGCATCCCAATATTTTATAAACCTTTATACCTTATGATTTTTAAGTATATTTGTTTACAGCTTTTTCACAGAGTTAGGGTGAAAATGAGCACACAACACGCCTGTTGGTAAATGGGTGCTGTGACCCATAAACATCTGCATCTATTCTCGATTAAGAATCAACATGCAGAAATTTTTTTCAAACTTTCTAAAATAATATTAACCCTTCAAGCGCCATAAAAATGCAAGCAGTCGCATGCGCTCTGCGAATCCCGAGCGGTCGCATGCGACCGCACCCACCCACAGCACTTAAAACCATTAAAACTTATATTTAGAGATTACTTTTCTATGAAGAAGTTTGGCATTATAAAATCTATACAAAATTATCTATATTGTGGTCTTAACAAAAGTCAGGTTTTACTTCATTTCAAAAAGATTTCATTGTATTTTGATTAAAAAAAAAAAACATACCAAGCGAATGTCGGCAGCGTGAAAATCACAATTATTTCAATATATATTACTCGAAATTATTTACGTAAAAAGATAAATTATATTCACACAAAAACTTACAATTTTATAATAAAACACTATACTAAAACACCAATAAAACACTAGAAAAATCCAAAAATAAACACAATAACATTCACGCGAAAATGGCGTACGAAATGAACGTAGATTATATATAAATATTCATAGGATAACAGTTTTTTTATTGCACTAGAAGATAGAGTATTTCGTATTGATTATATAATGCCAGACTTCTTCATAGAAAAGTAGTCTCTATGGATAAGTTTTTATGGGTTAAAGTGCTGTGGGTGGGTGCGACCTCATGAGACCGCTAGAGATTTGACGGAATATGGCCGCGGTCTCATGAGACCGCTAGGGGGTTGAGGGGTTAAATATTTGCTGACTTACTGACCATGCTGTAATTACTTTTTCTAGACCGTAGATGAACACATGCAATTGTCTTTCTCACACATAATGAAGCATTGGAAACGAAATCCAAATCAGCCAGGACAAGCTAAGATTCCCGGCTCGAGAAATGTGCTTTTGCGCTTCTATCCGCCACAGTCCGCACTCGGTGAGTATTTTTTTATCACATCATCATCATCATCATCATTACAGCCCTTCAAAGTCCAGCCGTGAGCATTGGGGCTCTTTTATCACATGGTAGCTTAAAAATAAATTTTGAAATCTGCAGAGTATATAAAAATATAGCTGTTTTATAAAAAATATATTAACTATATAGTAATTATTGCAGTTGTGATAAAAACATTATATTTATAATAAATTTATCATTTTTTTATATATTTATTTAGCCCAACATGATGAGAATATTTTATAAATACTCCAGTATAATAGTAATAAATTTTATTGATATATTGATTAACAAATGTATGAAAGAACCTTTGATTAATTGTTGAATATTGAATGTTTAAGAAAAAATATACAAATATGTCCCTGAGTCCGAGATGACATTGCTATGGAAAATGTAAATAATTGAAACAATATTTAACTGTTTAATTAAATTATAAATTACATTATTTAATTAATTTTAAAATTATTAAATTGTAAATCAATAACATTATTCTTCTTCATAAGTCCGAAAACATCCACTGCCAGCTATTGGCCTATCTGACTGTAGAGATAATTCCCCTTAATTAATAATAATATCGTTTATTCGCTTTAACATGGCAACAATTATCAGGTTCGGCGCAGATTGACGAACGCAGTACCAGACGGTTTGTAATTTTGACGCTACTCTCCGTAGCCTGTTTGGGTATTTTACATCTGACGTAAACGAGATTGTTATACCGCCATTTACCGAAAATCGTGTGGTGGCAACGTAAGAGAATTTAGTCATTTTGTCCAGGTCTCGTAAGAGGCATCTATAGGAGTCAAAGAGATCTTATGACTTCCATAAGAAAGTTAAAAATTGAAATAGTGTAAAAAAGAAAAGTTAAGAATCATCTCATTTTGTATTGCAATAAAAATCAATGAACCCCAAATTATTTGCAGAAGCAAATTCACGAAAGAAAAAGGTATATGAACAGCAGGAAAATGAAGAAAACCCTCTACGGTGCCCAGTGAAATTATACGAATTTTATATCTCAAAGTGGTAAGTACTTTGTTTCTACAAAACTATTTACGGTCCTTTCTGGATTTAAATATTTAAAAAAAAAAACAATATACTGGCTAGGCTTCTACTTCGTTCACCTGTATACCCTATTTTTTCCAGGCAGTAGAAAAAACTCAGTATATTATTAAATCTTTCGACAGGGAATCAAATAGGTTTTTTAAGTTAGTCTTCTTCTTTAAAACTTCATCTTAAAAGTAATTTTTTTTTTTTGTTTTTTTTTTTTTTTTTTCTTTGTTAAATAATATTTTTTTTTTTTTTGTGGGTAAGGGTTACTGTTTTTTTGCTTCGGCTCCGCTCTAATCGTATGTTATTGTAATGGCCATGTCTATTGCATATTTGTTAAATACATTCTCAGGTTCTCATTATTAGCCATGAAGGTTAGAGAACAGGAGAATGATCACCATAGAAAATAGTGTCCAGAAATATGGACAACATACGTGAGGTGATGCGATTGCTCGAGGTTCGGTCAATAAAAGTCATTTTGAGTCTATTTTTCCGATCAGATGCCAAACCACTTTACATCCACGCACAATAAAATATTTATCCATTTTTTAATGTTTCTTTTTGTTAAAAAGTTACAAAATTACGGAGCATGAAAATTTTTTCTCATTAAAAATGAGATGAAAATTTGTGCATTATTCAACTAACTTCACCTACTTGTACTCATAAACAGCTAACTTCGCAGTCACTACTCACCGACGTCAGCGCCGCTATACATTCTACGATTTTCAAGGACAGGCGGGCTATGCTTTAGTACGTAGTGATCGTTCTCCTGTTCCCTAACCTTCATGTTATTAGCTTAGCTGAACCTCTCTCTGTCTTAAAGATGTGAAGTAAATCCCAAACTAATAATATTTTTTCAGTCCTGAGTCCGTGCGTACCCGCAACGACGTATTCTACCTGCAACCAGAGAGATCGTGTGTTCCCGACTCGCCCGTGTGGTACTCCACACAGCCGCTCAGCCGCGCTGCACTGGCGAAAATGTTGCACCGCGTCAAGATGGTGAAGGAGATAAACATCGCATTGCTAACGAGCTAAGGTAACTTGTACAGATATTCACAACTGACATTCATACCAATAGGGCCAACCAAAGTCAGTGAGTGCTATGTTGCTAGGGTATTAACTTAGCACTGTTTGCTCAGAGTGGCTTATCTATACAAATAAATGAAATTTCTGTTTGTTATGTTAAAATAACAACTATTTACTTCATCATCATCAACACAGCCTTTAAAAGTCCACTGCTGAACATAGCCCACCCCCATAGATTGCCTCATAAGAAGTATTTTGCCATAGTTGACTTGCTTGGCATGTGGGTTGTCAACCGCTTTTTTTATTATTTTAGTTGTTATCATGCCCATCACCTGTTTCAATATTACATACCTGTTTCAATTATCACCTGTTTCAATATTCACATCACCTGTTTCAATATTCACATCACCTGTTTCAATATTCACATCACCTGTTTAAGTAATTCATATGTGGTAGAGCCACGCTGCAGCTGTATTATGGTTGTAGCATGAACTCTACTGGGGAAGGACCACGATCTCACAGAATACCAGCTTAAAATAGCAGCTGAATACTGCTGTGTTCGGTGAGTGTAGAGATCCGGAGATTTTACTGGAAACGAGGCATTCCATCTTAGTCCTCAGTGGTGACAGCGCATCTGCGTTTTGACTCTCAATCTAGTATAAATGTAGATATCTATGCGCCACAGCATCCACTTATCCTATATTATATATTATAATCCTAAATTACACGCCGCGCCGGGAATAACTGTTTTGCAAAATATTGAAGTGTCAATAAAACTTAGTTTTTTATTCTAACTTGCTACTGCAGCTAATGAGCACTTGCAACCAACTTCAAATAAATAACATCACATATGCATTCTCATTTTTGAAAGTCTAAGATGGTATGCCTCATAGCCTGTAAATATATTATCTCTCTATTCCCTTCAGATCAGTACCATGCACTGTTGTTTGGTGGCAACATTAGGTAAGAGGATTGTACCTACATAAGATTTTAATAACCCTGGATAGGTACCATCCTGGCTACTAGCCACCCATCCCTCACCATCCATCAACTATGACGTCATTACTCTATATTCTCATACAATTGTTATAAAAATATATTTTTTTGATAACTCTAAATGTATATTCAATTGACTTATATGTCAAATAACTAAATATTGATTTGTGCAGATTGATTTTGTTTGTTATTGATTCTATTTGTTTAATTAAGATTCTACAATTAATTTTAAATTTGTTAATTCAGTATTAATTAAGCTTAGTTTTTTTATTTACAGATTTCACAACACAGTCACGTGCTGACTTCAAACACATCAAGTTCCACCGGGAGCCTACTTCCTAATACATCTACATCCGAACTACGTTAACTGGGTACTTGTGATCTACATAGAATCATCCACTTCAAATGTAATATTATAACAATGTATATTTTTTCTACTTGTATATCAGCCTGTGAAATGGACATTCAATTGTTATTTTATTGCATAGTTAATATTAAAAATGTTTCTTTTATAAAGTTGCAATTAATTAGCCTTAAGTACTCTGTGCGGGACTGTTTTTGTATGTACAGATAATATAATGGTTATGATTCTATCAATTTTATATCATATGTCGATTTTCTTATTTATAGATTTTTTTAAGATGAATGGTGGCGTGAAATTATTTGGACCATATTGAAGTTAAACATTGTGTTTTTGGGAGAAACATTCTAAATTTGTACATACTGACGCCAAGCGACTTGCATTGAATAATTCTCCTTGGCTTTAAAAACAAGTGCTTGCAAAGATTTCCAACATGTGAGGAAATTATGTAGTTTTAAAAGCTATATTACATTGATGTAATATTTAACACAGTTAGAATTTAAGTGAAATAATTCCAACATTTTATTTTCATTTTAAAAAACGCACTTTTGTTTTTGTAACATTTATTCTAAAAATCCTAATATTGACTTTATTATTGTCACAGATAAAGTTTTATTAAAATAATTAGCAGTAAAAGAGTCAGATTCGTATTATATTTTAAGTATAATGACATCAGTTGTAAGGTTTAGGTAGGTTACTGCTGTATAAAAAGAATACTGATTCTCATATAATTGAGTTTTATTTTTCTTCCTTGTCATAATAAATAAAATATCGGGTGCGTTTGGCAGAAAAAAGCGCTAGCAAGCGCTTGTAAGCAAAATGGCGAAACTAAACAATTTTCGGCAAGGACACGTTTGCTAACTTCAGTAGCGCTGATACAATCCGCCATTTTGCTTATTTAATTTGTTTGTTTTGAAGTAGAGTTTATAAGTTGTTTTGTGCAATATTAGTTTTAAGTAATATAATGACATGAATAAACATATACATATTATTAAAAATTCATGATTGGTAAGTTTTTAATATGAATACTTTACAAACATATATTTAAATTAGGTTAGGTTCCCCGGTTAAAACTAACTTCGTGTCCTAGGGGAAAATAGCTACTTACGATTTGACAGCGCTTACCGCTTGCGATCGCCATTTTGCTTACAAGCGCTTGCTAGCGCTTTTTTCTGCCAAACGCAGGCATTATGTATGCTTGAGTGCAGAAAATATAATTATAAATTGGTTACTTTATATAGCTAACATGAGATATAGCCGCACTGCTCACTAGACTTAATCTGCATCGTCGTCCTACAAAAACTCCGAATTGTTCAATTTTTGCTGCAAAAAGAGATCTCCCACGTAAAATTTACAAAAATATGTCGTCACCTGTCTTATTTATGTATAGTTTTAACCACGTTGCTATTTACTTCTTTACTTAAAAATTACAATAACGGTCGTGTTGTTTCGGATTTATTACCAACAGGCCGCTGACCCTCGTACAATATGCAGATCGGGCGAGCGATGATCAGAGTTGTCACTGTATCATACTGTTACATTGTATGTATCTATGCGTGTGTGAAATTGCTAGTTCATTGTTTTTATTTGGTATGTATGAGTTTCGTAGTGGCAGACGATTGTTTTTTTGAGTGCAGATTTCCCTCCGCAAAAAATTACAGATAGTGGGATCCTGTAATTATTAAAACTAAACTCAAGCATACTGCAAGACTTCGTGAGACAGCTGTTCTGCGTAGATTGGACCAAAATTAATAAGTAATTAAAATTAAAAAGCTGAAGGAATTCCGGGTTAACTTTGACATTGGAATGTCTAGACATTCCAGATATAGATAGAGATATATATAAATTTGATAGACTACAAATAGTCGCGAAAGAACATAGATTCCTACCTAGGATAATATTGAAATAATAATAATAATAGTGAAGGAGGCTGGGTACTACCACCTGCTTGGGATCCTGTAATTAATAAAATTAAAACTAAACCCAAGCATACCACTGCAAGACTTCAATATACAGCTCATTCTACGTAGATTAGACCATAAATAATAATTAAATAGCTGAAGGTACTCCAGGTTAACACTGATATCGGGACGTCAGTCACCTTAGTGCCTCGTGACCATGGGTGCTGGAAAGCACCTGAAATGTCGGGAAATAAAAATCAAGAAATTAAACGTGATAAAATCTGTAAAATTAGTTTTAATCAATGTGTAGTGTTCGGGTAAATATAAGAAATCGTAATTATTTCCATTATTTTGGAGAACAAGGTTACCAAACAAGGATAGCAATAGGCCTATATAATGATTTCTTATATTTACACGAACACTACACATGATTAAAACTACTTTTACGGATTTTGTCGCGTTTATTTTTGCTTTTAATTACTTTTATTTTTAATTTTACTGGAAAGCGCCCGTAACGTCGGGAATTAAAAATAAAAGTAATTAAAAGCAAAAATAAACGCGATAAAATCCGTAAAAGTAGTTTTAATCATGAATAGGCCTATAGTTGGACGGATCTGAGCGGTCGCATTTTTTAGGGATCGGGTGCACCAAAGCTGTCTTCCATGAGTTTAAGACTACGCCTAAGGAGTAGGAGTACTGCAAAAGATGCATTGAAACTGGTGCTAACTCCGGAGCACACGTCTTTAGCACAATAGTTGTATTATAGTATGTATGTGCAACACTACTTATCATAAACAAATTAATACCTAAATATATAATCCTAATTATAGTATCGTATTACATATAGTAATGGTTTTAAAAGATGAACACAAAAAATAACAGCTAACACTATAAATTAATTTTGAACGCAATAAGAAAGGATCCATTCAGTGCTTTGCCCGCCCAAGGGCGGGCGAAACTTTTATTAAAATGTCGAACCCGCCCATGGGCGGGCGGATTTCAAACCTAAATAAGTATGCTAAATACATTATTTTTTTAAAGATTTTGTCTAATAACTCGTTTTATTATGATTGATTCGTTATCAAAACGGCCTGCGGATATCTTAGATTTTAGACAAAGACAATTCTGACCTGTCATGCCGACCCCACCCATGGGCGGGCAGTACGCCTATTCAGAGTTAACAAACCTTTTGTTACAATTTTAATGAAAAACTATAATTTTAGTACAAATAATAACAAATAAAGTATATTTACATGTAGTGATAATAAAATATAAACTTTATTTTTCTTTGCTTATTATTAAAATTATGAAACCATAATATACAAGCTATTACAAAAAAGCGGATAATCCTTTTAAGGAGTAATATTATTGCTCAAATGCAACAAATTCTTCTATGGGACCTACATCGAAATCTCAAAATGGCTTCCACATACTAAGCCGCCGATCAGCTGAGACGGGACGGGAAAGAAAAACCAATGTGCGCTTTTTCATACTTTTCAGACTTACTACTTTCTATAATCCTAAAAATATTTTTAAGTCATGTAATTTTTAAAATAAGATTAATTTTATTTTTAGAATCGAAATAAAATTAATTATTTTTTATTATAATCGATGTAAACATTATTATAACCTTAATATAAATTATAAATCAACTAAAGGTGTATTTAAAAGTTTATTTATTGTATTTATAAAAATCAATTATTTACATACACTATTTTATATACACTTTTGTATCTATATTTTATTTACATATAAAAACATTAGTTAGGCTTCTTTTATCACAACTGTGTCCTTTGATCATTTATAAATATACAGTGTACACTAACTAAACAACGTCTAACATAAAATTAGGTCACGCGCGATGAATAGCGTGCTACTAGATCAAATTTGCGTCACACGTCCTCTCCCAACAGCGCTGCTGCTAGAACTTCCTGGTATATAGTGTTTGTCTATGGCTAGAACTAATTGCCGCTAGATATTAATACTTAATAGCGCCAAAGCACGATAGCGCAATAGCGCCATGGCGACTACTTACATAACACGCGCTATGTGTTATGAAGAGATAGCGCGCTATAATATGGCGCTATGCGCTATATTAACCACCAGTACTAATAAGAGTCGTGAATTTATTTACGCTTCCCGTACAACCATTTTCAATAATTTGTTTTTTGTGACATTTTGTAAATAATTATGTCAGGTAAGCTTATCTGTGTCCCCGTATTTTAGGACAGTGACGGTATATCATCTCGTCTAAACTTAAAACTTTGGTGTAAACAACTTGCTTCAAGGGCATTATTTGTCATTAGCAGTGTTAACTAAATAAGTGGTTTTTTTATATGTATCTCTTAAATATTTTATGCATTCATCATGTTCTTCACGGATTTCCAAACCCAGAACACGATAGTGAACGATTCAGAGTATGGCTTTATGCAATTGGCGGTGATTTACTAGACCTCGAAAATATGCACATATTCAACTTTCCAAGTATCACCATGTGTCACTCACATTTTGAGGAATAATTTCAATGCAGAAATAACAGAATCAGTAACATTGCTGTGCCTACTTTGAATATACCGGGTTTGTCTTTATAGATTATAAAATAAGTAAACATAGAATGAATTAGGAACATAACATAATATATGGTTTCTTTATAAAAATAAGCCTAATTAGAGTAGTTATCTAACTAGTAGTAATTTTACCGTGATTCATTCATAAATCTAACTAGAATATTATTACATACTATTTATATGCACTATCGGGCTTAAAAGGATAATTCGTGTAATGATCACGGCTGACAGAAGAATGACGCTTTGATGATCAACCATTAAGTCTAGTTTTTATAAATATTAATCTTCACCCCTCTTTTATACTTTTTTAAAAATAAATTGTTATATAATATTATTATACAGTGAATATATACTTTTTGTAAGTCAAATCAAATCAGTTTATTTTGTGAACATACGAGGGCTGATCCAAAAGTAATGATAATGAAAATAAAACACGGTAATTAAAGTTAAAATAATAATTTATTTTTCTACATAGTCTCCTAACAAATCAATACATTTAGTCCATCTTTTTTCTAAACCCAGGATTCCCTTTGAAAAAAATTTGCGGCCATTACTTCGCTATCGTCTTCTAATTTCTTGCCTCGGAGGCGTTCCTTGAGCCGAGGAAAGAGGTAGAAGTCACTAGGAGCTAGATCTGGCGAATAGGGAGGGTGTTCGAGCAGTTCGAATCCCGTTTCTTGAATGGCAGCCATCGCAACTGCGGCTTTGTGAGTCGATGCGTTGTCTTGGTGAAACAGCACTCCAGCTCGCAGTTTGCCGCGTCTTTTTTCCTTAATGGCCTCCCGTAATCTTCTTATTTGGTCTGCGTAGTAAGAGCCCGTAATAGTGGCTCCCTTTTCCAAATATTCCACCATAATTATGCCTTGAGCGTCCCAAAAAACAGATGCCATAACCTTTCCCGCCGAACTTGAAACTTTGAATTTCTTTGGCGTCGGTGAGGAGGCTCGCTTCCAAGTCATCGATTGTTGTTTCGTTTCAGGATCAAAATGGTGGATCCAGGTCTCGTCCATAGTCACAAAACAGAACAAAAAATTTTCTTGATCTGCTTGGAACTTTTCGAGATTGGCCCTCGAAATGTCAACTCTGATAGTAGACTCACAGTTCACTTGTTCACTCGCTAGGTGCTTGTAGAGTTGTCACGTGTAGTATCGATTAAAAAAAATCTTTTGATAAAAATATGCCGTCGTGTGTACTTAGATATTGCACAAATAATTCTAGAAATGTCAGTAAAAACCAAGGAATTACTTTTCATCGGCAAATAAGATACTTAATCAATAAAATTATTATATATTAATAATAAAAAAATTATTCCTAAGATGCCATCTCGTGTCATGGAATATAAAGATTAGATAAACAAGATTATGATAGACAAGATTATGAAATTAATTTGTTCAGATGCGACATTTCTGTGGGTACTTAACTGTAGGACGAATATATTATTATACACATTTTTTTTGTAGAAACATATCGTCGTTGCAAATTTAAAATCTCCTATGTGTAAAAAGTAACTTTTCGAGAAAAACGAAATTAACTTCCTGCTACAAAAAATCTTAGAAAATATTTTTATTCCCTTGGTTATAAAGAAAAACAAAGTGGTTCCAATGTATTGAAATATAAATAATTTTATACCATACGTTAAATGGACTAATTATATAATTTTAATTATTTTTCTACACATGGGAGATTTAAAATTGCAACTTTTTGTCACATAGGTGGTTTCTATCCTATACCTTTAAACGAGCAATTCTTATATATATATATATATATATATATATATATATATATATATATATATATATATATATATATATATATATATATATATGTATATATATATATATATATATATAATCGGAATCTCGGAAACGGCTCCAACGATTTTCATAAAATTTTGTGTGCAGGGAGTTTCGGGGGCAATGAATCGATCTAGCTAGGATTTATTTTTAGAAAATGTCTTTTTGTCCGTGTTTTTAGGCAATGAAAAACTGCTACAATATCGTTAGAATAAGAAGGTAAATTTTGACAATTTATTAATGATTATAAATAGCTTAATTGGTATATTGGGCGGTCACAAAATCGTAATACCATGGTTCGAGCCCAGACCGACCGACCGACTTTTTTTAATTTTTTTTTAAGTTCCTTCCTTTTTGAGAAAATCTATTTTTTCGAGCCCTTTTTTTAGTATTTTTAACAACACGACAATTTAAATAAAACTAATTGCACTCATGATTTTTTATTCAAATAACCAGTTCAGTTTTTTCTATTATGTCGCTAAGATCAAAAAATATTATTCGTATTTCATCAGTATGTAATTTGTATCTAAATATAATTTCCAAAACCAGGAATTAAAAAAAAACCGAGCGAAAAATACCGAGCAAAGCTCGGTCAACCGGGTACTAGAATAATAAAACATTATTATTGAAATGAAACTAGGTACTATCATTATTATTTCGTGTTTATTAAATCAGTTATGCAAAAACAATAATTATCTTTAATTACTATTTTCACAGTTTGACAAAATCTTGTACATTATGTACCTACTGAACCAAATTATAATTAATCTTTTGTGTTTATGTTCCTGGGTTAAAACGAGATCGAGTCATAAAACGGATGATAATCTTTATCAATCACACTTTTTAATTCTTACAAATGTTTGTATTTGCTTTCTGTAATTTTGAGGGGCTGTTGATATAGTTGCTGTGGTAGTAAACTTCCACGACTAGCTCTTCGCTGTGGTAGGATGGTCCATTCGTCAGGATGTCGCAATTTACATAAGACAGACCCATCTGACAAGTATTTCAGTCCTCGTATATCGACCACAACTGGATCACCTTTTTTCTTACCTGGTCTTATAGACTTGAAGTTGGATTCTAGTTCTTCATAATTAAGAAAGAAGTCGTAGTGGATTGACTTTACATCGTAAGGATTTCTTGGTCGAGCTTGCTGCATTCGAGCTACATAGTCACTCGGTGCATAAATGGGGGGTTTAATGTACTGTTCAATTGTTGAATGGACACTATCAACTTCCATCATGGTATGGCCTTTTTCCAAGTACAACTGCTCAACACTAATATTCATTCTTTGCGAAAGATCACTTAAAGCACTGGACAAAATCCGGTTTCGATTTTGATGGCCACACCCATCAGAAATTACAGTGACTTGTTCAGTTTCCGGCGCTAGGTTTGCTATATAATCGATTAAGCAAGAAGTAAACTCATTTGCGGATACGCCCCCATCAGCTTCATGCCAAAAGTAAATAGTTACTTTTCTCGTCTTGCAGTCATAGACAGTAAAGTTATGGCATTGTAACTTAAGTTTATAATATAAAGAGCTGGCCAAAAGCTTAGGTGCAAGTAGGACACTCTGCACATCCACTGTGATTACTACAACCTTTTCGTTCGCCGATTCTATGGCATCTTTTTTTAGCTTGGCGTGCTTCATTCTTTTTAATTATGTGATCGTCATACTCGTTTTGTGAAATATTACCCGCTTTAAAACTACAAGTATCACACTGATCTTTGCGTGGCTGGTGAATTGCTATATTCTCCTGTTTCAGAACTCTTAGGAAAGTCGGTCTGCTTGCTGCTCGGTAACTGTGTTCTCTACACCATTCCACGAAAACGTCATGCATGTATTTTTCAGACCTAAATGTCTACTCAACATACAGCTTGCTGAACTCGCTCGGCAATAATGACTGGGTACTTTAGGAATCAAGTTTATCCAAATTTTTACTTTTTGTGTTACGTGTGTATACTTTGGTACCAGTGCTGCACTCGATGTATTTTCGATGTCAAGTGTGGGTGAATCAACTAAACGAAGATCTTCATTAACCGTGTCAGATTCTTTTGTCCAGCGCTTAAAACTGTCTTCACCTAAAGATAGAGTATTTAAAAAAACAGTCTACATACCCAAACTTTAGTGCATTTTTCTTCGCAAGTGTTCAAAAAAATATTATGTCCACTTCCTTTTTTCATTGAAGTCTAGTCTTTGCGGCGACGATGTCTAATTAATCTACGAACAGCAGCAGTCCTCACGAACGTTTTCTTTTGGGCCCATGTTTTAAGGCCCCAGAAATATGAATGAATAGCTTTACGATCTTCTTCCGTAATGGATGCACACAAGAATGAGTTTTTATGTTTTGAATCGGTGTTCAATTTTGTGTGAGAACATCGAGGTTTGATTTCTCTTTTTGGTTTTTCAACACAGGGTTTATATTTACCGTTATCACTCTTCTTAAATCCCAGATAGGACTTACCTAAAACTCTAGCTTTTCTATTTAATTGCACAACGTTTTCTTTAGACCTGAAATGGTGTTCAATGTCCTCGTCTGTCGGTAGTATATTTTCTAAAGAGCTTGGCTCACTCGTTCTTAATAGCAACAATGGGACTTCATCTTCACTGTCAGATACAGACAACCGCCGATTTATTTTTTCTGAGGGAGGAACCCAGTGTGGGTCTTGCACACTATCATCGCTCCCAAGTGAGAGAATGGCATCCAAGTCTGGAGATGGTAGCTTGGCAGAACGTACTGATTGTGATGATACGGAAATATTGTTCAGATTTTCATTTGCTACACTGCTGACTACCTCATTACTACCTTCTAAATTGGAATGTACGATAGCCATCACCAACGGCTCCTCTTCGTCATCACTACTGAACAAGATTGGCATAATATCCGCAGTAGTTGTTGGTGACAGCAACAGTGATGGCGTCTCCGACATCGCAGATATAGATTCAAGATTAATTAATCCTAAATCATCTGGCGTAATTAATGAATCGTCAAGATGTGGAGGAGATTTCACCGATGTGGCGGCGGCAACAGAGGCGACACGGTCGGTATTTTCGTCAGCAAACTCAGATTGAAGCACTAAATTTATCATTCGATGACCGCCCGGCCAGTAGTTTTATATTTTTTTGACATAATTACTAAAGTAACAACGCTAAGAAAGTGTTTACGCGCGACAAGTTGCAGCTACCATAGATTACTGCCTATATACTAGAGATAGATGAGCAACTCAAGTTTTATTTACGTTAAGTTCCGTGCCCAACCGTCAGGTGGCGTAAAATTAAGAGTGCTTTGGGCCCGCCCTTTATTTGCACTTTACAATTTTATATGTTCAGAACCATTAATTACATTGCACAAGTGCTGCAATGTAATTAATGGTTCTTTATATTTCTTGTGCTAATTGCTAGTTCCTATTAATAAAATAAAAACCGGATATATTTAAAATGTTTATTGTTTAAAAATTTCTTGCCTAAATTAATAACATTAGATGTGTTAAATTTAACAATATTTGCACAATATCAATTGATTTCTTTAAACACATTCTTTTTAACTGGTTAGTTAAGTTAGGAAATATATTATGTTACAGAGAATACAATACAATAGAATTATTAAATATAGATTATTACACAATACTTATTGAAAGTCATGTTTTATTTACTACATATACCTCTGTCCTGGGAAGAACCAACAAGAAACCCAGCGGGACGTTTTTTTAAAACATATTTCACTTTACAATCATTTTGTTTATACATTTTTTAAATAAATTTTAATAGTACAGGCATGGTGGCGATCACCTCAATCACAGGGGTTATTATTGATGTATTTTTTGATATTATAATAACACTTTTTGTACATTTTTCCTTAAATAAAACATTTAAACTTATTTATTGACAAATTTTGTACATTTTCTGAAATTTTGTTTTAAAAGCGTATATGTTGCCCCATAAAAGCAATACTGACTCAGTGGAGTCTAGTAACTGGTGTTACAAGCTTATGTTTGTTCTTAGATTTTAAAGTATAAACATCTTTATTCTTATGAAAGCTTTTTATGTTTTTATGTACATACATTATATATATATGTACAACAATACATACATTATTGTACATACATTATTGCTATGCCAAAGTTAATATATTTATTTCATTACATTTTTCTCTACGCGACTTTTACAATTTAAGATATAAATTGAACGTACGGCTCTCTTTTATAAAACAAATACGGCTTCAATGTCTAATACTAAGAAAAACTGTGGTATCCACAAGACTCAACTACTTCCCATTTAAGAGCACATTGATAATTGAATCCTCTCCAAAGGTTTGCTTCTTTTCCATAATTTCAAGAATTAGTATCAATTAATTGTTAATAGTGGTACATCTTTAACTTAATATAAAAAGATACATTTTGTAGCAGCATTATTAATCTTTAAAATATGTACTTGATAACGTTATCATATTTTGGTAACAAAACTTTTTTTTAAATGTGTGTAATAACTATACTTTTAAAAATACAAACAATTTACAAAAGTTACTTTCTTATGCCCACTATACCATTGTAAATGTGTAAATCAATATATTTTTTTACAAAATCAGCATTTTATATATGTATTATAACATACTCATACATAATACAACCTCACAAACCATTTGCGAAACTATAATCAATCTAATAAATTGTGGAAGGTACCATATAATCACATAGAGCAACAAAAATAATACTAAGAAATAATATTTCAATAAAACTGATATCATTGACTATGCACACCCACATATTCCTGAATGTGCAGTTAGTACAGTATAATATGAATATCGTGGAAGATGGTACAATTTCGAAGACAAATTGTTTGGCCACGTCGATAAAAACAAAAAAAGCCTTAAAAGATATATATTCTTAGGTAAATTGTTCACTTTACTCAAGACGGACATTAAAAATGTCCTTAAATAAATACTAATTAAGCCAGGCATAAACTTATTTATATTTAAGCAAATGAAAGACTTGAGCATGACAGAGTGCTTGTGTTTCTTAATGCTTGATGAGATGCTAGTGTTCTCCTCACTACATTACAATGCAAATGTCATAGGTTTTGAAGACTGAGGATGTTAAGAGTGAAAATATGATGAACATGTTTTGGTTTGATGATAAAGGAGATAAAGTTCATACTAAGCTTTCAACTAGTTATGGATTTTGCAAAAAATGCTACGATGGCAGTAATTAAAAAATATATATAATAAAAGATTTATAACAAACATGATTAAATGGTGTCTATGATCAATTTACAATTAACACCAAAGTAAGCAATAATTAAGTTAATAGGACAAAGACAGCAAGAATGCTTTTGAAATTTAAAATAAAAAATAATTCTCTTTATTTGATACTTACACTTATCGAAAGGGGAAATTTTATTTCAAAAGAATTAAGATTTATACGCATGACGTAGTAAACTGCTAAATGGGAGCATTTATAATTGCTCTTAGATAGTGATGTGGGAGAAAATGAACTACTGGATGATGCATAAGTAAGCTGACATATACCTAAGTGTAACCTGATAAAATACCTAAAATTAGGAGTAAAGCACGAATTTTAACCAACGTGTATTAGGTTGTCTTTGATTTTGTGCAAATAAGTCTTTACATATTAATAATTAATGTTCAATAAATAATTGTCTTTAACAACTTTGTTTTGATTTTATTTTCAAAACATTTTTAATTACCCCAAGAGAGCAAAGATACTTCATAGCAAGTATATTGTCCAAAGTCCGCCACGTGCCACGTCCGCCATTTTGTTTTGGTTTCTTTCGAACCACACTAATACTGTCTACTTCATCATTCGACCCGCCATGCCTTTAGTCGTCACTTTTCGCGCACTCAGTATTCAAATAACCCCCTGAGTTTAACAGAAGTCCGTTATTTCAATTTTACGTACAGACAAACACTTCAATTACACGAGTATGAATAAATTTAAAATGGTCTACTTAGAATAATAACTGTTACAACTTAACAAGCGTGGCAACATGGCAAAATACCCCCCCCTATGAGGCTATTGGGGAGGCCTATGTTCAGCAATGGACTTTTATAAGCAGCAATGGAAAAACCTGTATTAGATCTATCGCCGTGCAAGGTGTTATGCTCGGGTAGCGGCCAATGCTACGTGTGCTAATTCGGGGCTCTTATAATAACTTCTGTTAGTCAGTTTTGTTTGATTTTGTTTAATTCCTTTAATCAAAGATTTTATAAAAAGTGTCTAAAACATAACTCGGAACGTATATGCTGTGAAACAAAGTTTTACCTATTACAATGAGATTTCAGGAAGTTAAAAAAGAGATGGAAGTTGAATGAAGAAATTGTTAGCAAGATGCTAATAATATATTATAAAATCTGGATTATTTACTGGTAAAAATGACCTCCACTCCAAACGAAGAGGTAGTAAATAGAAGGTATTTTACCGCTCACATTTTGGCAGTTAGCAAATTTTCAGAGATTGAAAACTAAAATATTTTTATTTAACGAGTTATAAAAAAGATGAAAATTAATGCAGGTATGTAAATAATGTAATAATTGTAATAATGACATTTGTAAGACAACCCCACACCAAGCAAATACATCAAATTTGTAATGTTTCAAGAAAAACACTTTTGCGACTTTCAGAAAACTTTTCATGTGTTGGAGATTATAAGAAAAATAATTAAAAACATTTGACCAATGATTTCCCCCGAAATGGGATATTTGAAATCATTGTTAATAAATAGCAAATTTCAATTTTTAACATGACATAAACATAAAAAAGTAAGGAGGTATTTTATAAAACAAATTTAACATAACATAACATGACACGCACACGCGCACGCGCACGCACACGCGCACGCGCACGCACACGCACACGCGCACGCACACGCACACGCGCACACACACGCGCACACAGACACACACACACACACACACACACACACACACACACACACACACACACACACACACACAGCGAGAGAGAGAGAGATCACTTATTATGTCTATAAAATTTTATGATTTCTTTATACAAAAAATTAAATTAATTTAAACAATACAACTATGTATTCCTCATCAACAGCAACAACATATAACATACCATAGAATACTTTAATATACAATAGAATAGCACTTCCGTTGACGTAATTACGACCACACATACAAGCAATTACAAAAATTAATATAGTATGTAATTGATATAATAATTGTAATGATGATCTTTGTAAGACAACCCCACACCAAACAAATACATCAAATTTGTAGTTTCAAGAAAAACGTTTTTGCAACTTTCACAGAACTTCATAATGTGTTGAGGAGATTATAACAAAAATAAATAAAAACATTTGACCAATGATTCCCCCTAAATGGGATATTTCAAGTCATTAAATTGTTAATAAATATCAAATTAAAATTTCCAACATGACATAAACATAAAAAGTAAGGACCCTTATCATAAATTTGTTAATCAAGTTAATTGTACATAGTTCAGACCCTCAAAGATTGCATAAGAGATGGTGCAATAAAATATTAAAAGGCAGACATATTAAAATCAATAATGACAAAATAACACTTAACTACTAACTTAAACAATGAATTTGGTTTTACACAATTTTTATAGATCCTGTATGTTTTCTTACAGGAACCTCCATTAAAAGAATCAAACAATTGATCAAACAGTACCGTATCTTCACATTCTTGTGGCAGCAACTTATTTTCTGCAAAGAAATAAAATGTTATGAGCACTTTTTAAATAATAAGAAGCAATAAAATGTTTGACACAAGAGGAAATACAAGTAAATACTAAATATGCGATAAAAAGATATCTTACAAAAAATAATTTCAATATTGAATGTTATTTAACAAAGTATATATACGTACACTTGCACAAAATTGTAAAGCTTCAATTTTTTCTGCTGCTGTTACTTGACTTTTTAG